AAAAATAGACTGCAGTGTTGTGTCACCACATGAAGAAATACACATCGATAATTTAGATGAAACCGGTATAAATGAACATTATGTATATTGCATTAATAAGAAAATCATATTTACGGTTATCCCTTTGCATATCACAATACGATCCTGCAGTGATGAATGGTTTACTATATAATATAAATAGAGAGAGAGAGGAAAAGATTCCTCTTTATAACTATTATAATTAGTAGATAGATTCCTCTCTATAACTATTATAATTAGTAGATAGATTCCTCTCTATAACTATCATAATTAGTAGATATTAACCTAACTTTTGGTAGGGATTTGTTAATCACATCTTATGCTCTAATTTTATATAGGGAAAAATCAGTGAAAGAATTACATCATATATTTTCAGCTTAATTTGCTCATGTGTCGAATCCCTTTAACTTTTGATCAATCGAACCGTTTTATTTAAGCATAGAATGTCGATGTTTGTTCCGTTTGTTTGACCTTTGGCAACAATATTATGCCGATGCTCACGACATTTGCAAGCGGAAACATACGCCAATGGATCGAAAATGTCGGCATATATTGTTGCCGCAACGATGCATATGCAGCGCGACAATATATAGCATGTACAACAAGCAATCTGAGATGCATTAGCAATACTAGTCCCCTACCGGCAAGTGCAATCTGGTTCCCGTTAAGAATTGAAAATGCCATAATTCCGTTAAAAATCAATGAAGCGGGACGAAATGCAAACTTAATCTATAACTAATCAAGGTAAAGTCACATTTCAAAAATCGGCACAATATCTGAAAGCGTTTAGAAGAAAATTGCGGAAAACCCCTAAAAATTGAAAAGGTCGTAATTCCGTCAAAAAACCAGTGAAGCGGAATGAAACTTGATCTGTAACTCATCAAGATACACTCAAAAATCAGCTCAATATTTGCAGGCGTTTAGGAAAAAAGTGCGGAAAACCAAGTGGGACAGACTGACAGACAGACAGACGGTTGGACAGACTCAGAGGAAACCTATAGTCCCCTCCAGTTTCACCGGTAGGGGACTAATAACAGGGTATCATTGGAAAAAGTGAAGATAGGGTCCAATGATCAAATTCATAAGTCCAGTGAAATAAACAAATAGTGACAGGAAAAAAACATGGACCCCTGAAAACATCAGAGATGGGATCAGGTGCCTATGACGACTAAGCATCCCCTGCCTACTGGTCACACCCACCATGAGTCCTCTATATTGATCAGGTAAACGGAGTAATCTGTAGTAAAAATTGGTATTAAAAAATGTCAGTCAGTAACAGGTCAGTCAAAATACGACCCAACGATAGGTTGTGTTTGCAAAAAAAGGTCATTATAAAGACCATAGAATTTTCGAAAAGCTGACTTTAAACAAGATAGTTGAAAACCTTATTTGTCAGTATTACTATAGTGTTTATGTGATATATTATGATATTGATGTGATGTGATGTTATGATATTCCAAATTCATTTTCAAGATATATTGATTTTCCAATACCAGGAAGTTTATTTTGAAAATATCAGAAATTCAAATAACCCCCCGTATTTTATGAATTTCCACAGATCGATGAATAATTCATTCTTGTTTCAAGAATCGTTTTCCGTTATTGAGATCAACATTTCAAATATAGGCTGTAACATACCGAGTTAAATAGTTATTTCAACATCATATCGTTTTCTTTGCAGTAATCTCTGTCGTGAAATAAACACCAAACAGCGCTTCGTACATTTTACTGTGTCAATTGAATAAAATTACGAATAGCCATGATGAGTAACATATAGAAACTGTAAGTGATATCATGAATAGAGAGATAAGGAAAATTCTTTGTATTCTCAATCTAAATCAAGACAGCAATAATGCTAGCATTTTTGTGTCATTGCAGTAGAAACCATAATGGAACAAATGACGAGCGTGCATGTCGTGCACTTACCTCGCTGTTGCTATCTCTTTGCCTTTTTTCCGGAACAAAACTTACTGACACTCGGACGGGTTTTAATTTTTACTATAAGATCAGTGGTCTTTCAAGGTATCACGCCGCTAACTGACCAATCAAATTGACTTAATCAATTGTTTGTTTCTTTCTTTGTTTTCGTCCCTTCGAGAATTTTTCACTCATATTGAGCCGCCACCACTTGCCTGTGGAGGGCTGCAAATTTAGACCTGTACTCGGCACTAAAGGTCTTTGAACAGTGAGGGATCTTTTTCGTGCCGGTGTTGTAGAGTGAAACTTCTCCCCGGAAGTCTTTCTCTAGAGTGAGCCTTTTACTTTGGGGGGGGGGCTAACTCTAGAGCCACACCCCCTCAAGATTTGCTCTAGATTGATACTATCCCCTTGGGGAAGGGCCACTCTAGAGTTATATTTCCTCGTTGAAGTGCCCCCATCCCATCAAGTTAGATTCTAAAAATTTGTCAACTTATTGGAAAACAAAAGGAGGATATAAATTGTATGTTTTTAAAAGTAATATAGTCACTTATACAAAAGTAGTGCTTAATGTGTCTTATTAACTTTTCTTTCATACTATAGTAGACATATGAGTAGTGTACTTATCTTAGCCATACGAAGTAATGATATAAAATTTAATTGGAAGAGCTCAAAGGTTTTTAAGATATAGTCCGGAAACGAAAAGTGTTACACAAAGACAGAAATACAGTTAGTCGGGCTGACGGACAAACGGACGGTCGGACCCAAATTAATATCCTCCACTTTCATTGAAAGCAGGGGCAATAAATGCACCGCTGTAGGATTTGGTAACTAAATCATCTTTAGTGATTGTAGAACTAATAAAATCAAGATTAAATGAAGGGGCAAGACCTACTATGGGGGAAGTCTGACTCTACCTCCTTTATTCAATAATTCAGAAGTGAAAAAAGAATTAAATAGATAACACGATCAGTATGTACTGGTCCCTGCTGACAAAGCAGGTAACAACATTGTCTTTGTTTGTAAGGCTCATTATTTAAATTGTATTTTAGAGGAATTAGGATTCAATTCTACAAATGTTAATCCGAGTTATACCCATAGCTCCCTTTCTAAGGAGGAAATTCTTCAAAATCATATGTCAGTTTTGAATATTTTTAATATTCCCTACAACCAACGTGAATTTGAATTACCATATCTATACTGGATTCCGAAACTTCATAAAAATCCTTACAAATAAAGATACAATAACATAGCGGGTTCCAGTAAATGTTCTACCAAGCCTCTTTCTTTACTCCTCACTAAAATATTAACAGTAGCGAAGGAGAAACTTCAGGAGTACTGTGCAACAATATATTCGAGAAGTGGCGTAATTCAGATGTGGATATTTCAAAAACTCCAAGGAACTTTTGGAAAATTTGAATTCACAAAATTTTACCGAAATCAACAACCTAAAAACTTACGACTTTTCAACTTTATATATAATCATTCCCCACGATAAATTAAAGTCCGGGCTTTTTTTATATCATTGACAGCTGGTTTTTCAATAAAAATGGAACTCGTAAATTTACTTACCTTGTCACTGATCATTTGCAAAATTACTATGTCAAAAAACAATCTGTTTGTACTCACAAGTACTCTGAAGTTGACATTAAAAAGATCCTCGAGTTTCTGATTGACTGTATCTTTGCGGTTTTTGGAGACCAGGTCTTCCAACAATCTATTGGAATTCCCATGGATACCAAATACGCCCCGTTATTAGCAGACCTATTTTTGTATTCATATGAAGCAGAATTTATTCAAAATCTTTTACGAGAAAAGAAGAAAACACTTGCTGTGGCCTTCAACTCGACATTTAGATATATCGACTACGTATTGTCAATTAACAATGGTTATTTCCATTCTTATGTCGACATGATATATCCCGCTGAGCTTGAGATAAAAGATACCACAGAGTCTGACACACCTGTTTCATATTTGGATATTTTACTAGAAAAAGACGTTAATGGTAATTAACAACCGACTTTATGATAAACGTGATGACTTTAACTCTTCAATGATCAACTTCCCTTACTTATGCAGCAATATACCTTCATCACCTGCATATGGGGTTCATATCTCTCAGTTGATTCGATATGCAAGAACATGCTCTACGTATGAACAGTTTTTAATACGAGGTATGTTATTGACAAACAATTGATGAAACAAGAACAACAGCAGTCTCGTTTAAAGTCATCATTTCGTAAGTTCTACGGTCGATATAATGACCTAGTCAGCAAATACAATTTATCATTAAGTCAAATGCTGACTCTTTTCACACTAATTGTTAGGCCATTATTTACACACTGAATTGTCGACGGATTTTTCCGTTATTTCCCGATCATGACAAGGAGCACACGGCGGGTGTGACCGGTCGGCAGGGGATGCTCACTCCTCCATGGCACCTGATTCCACATCTGATGTCTTAGAGGTCTGTGTTTGCTCTGCTCCTATTTTGTAATTTTTAATGGACTTTTGAGCTCGAATACTGTTCGTTATCTCCACACATTTCATTGTATCAACTTCAGAATATTTGTGTGAACAATCAGAATGCTTTTTAACAATATAATTTTGCAAATGACCAATGACAAGGTATGTAAAAATTACGAGTTCCATTTTTATTGAAAAAGCAGCTGTCTGTGATGTCAAAAAGTATGGATTTGAATGGTTGTATAAAGTGCCGAAAAGTTGTACGTTTTGATATTATTGATATTGGTAAAATTTTGTGATTTGAAATTTTCTAAAAGTTCCTTGGAGTTTTTAAATATTCACATCTGATTAACACCACTTAACGAATATACTGTTGTACAGTATTCCTGAAGTTTCTCCTTCACTGCTGTTAATATTTTAGTGAGGAGCATAGAAAGAGGTTTTGGTAAAGAAAAGAAAATATATAGATGATTTAATGTACTATAAACGCTAAAAAGATCCTCAAAAATTCAGATGTGTCTATGCATGTTTTTTCAAGAGGCAGTCACAAAATGTCGAAAACAGACAAAATGACTATGACATAAACAGAACACGTAAAATTAATAAATCGCTCAAATGTTTATTTCTCTTGGCAAGCCTCGCATATTTATACATCATTTCAGCTGTTATATTTCTTCTACAGTATAAAGTAAACGTTACCTTGATGAGAGCAGGGTATACAAGCAATGAAAATAAGATGTTTGTTGTCCCTTTTGCCATTTGCATTAAATAGTTTACATCTTATTCAACAAGTAAAATCAAATGGCAAAATATATCATTGGTTATTTCAAATATGAATAAATTGTTGGTCTGGCATTTTAGTTTAAATAATTTACTACTTTTCGAAGAATAAAGGGAAAAGGGAATCTAAAAGCTTTGTGTATTTAGTACTGATCTGCACATTGCAAAATTGTTTGTAACATAAAATTATTACAAAATATTAATTTAAATAACAGTATTGTATAACAAAAAGATTGGGTTTCTGTTTGAAAGCATTGTCTTGTCATTTTAATTAGCAAATCAAAAACTTAAAAATCATTACATGTTAAACATGCATTAAATAAGTAAGAGATTTTTTTATTGAATAAAACGTGTTTTGCTTAACATACATGTATTTCTCAACAGTCTCTAGAAATAAAATGTTAAACACCAACAGAAAAATATATCCAGTGAACATTTCCGTCCTAAACCAAAGTCTATGAATGAGATTCATCTAGTTCATTCTTTAATTTTTGGAGTGATGCAAGACGAATGTCCCGCCATTTTCGTCTCTGGTGAAGTTTATCTAGCGGGATTCTGGCTGCCATTTCGTTGTGTATCTTTTCCAGAGTGGGACCCTCCATTTTCCTTGGGGGACCAAAGGAGGACTGAACTCTGTATATCATGTCACGGTATCGATCCCCATAACTGAGCATTCCTTCAATGAAAAAGAAGAAAAAAAGCTGATTCCCTCATTCACAGTACTTGTATATATGGAAAAGGGGAGGACGTGATTAATCTCATAAATCCTGTAACTAATACAGATCATGAACAGGGCAAACACAATGGCCCCTGGAAAAACCAGAGGTGGGATCAGGTGCCTTAGAGGCGTAAGCATCCCCTGTTGACCAGCCACACACGTCATAAGCCCTCTCTATTGGTCAGGTAAAGAGAGTACTCTGTATTGAAAATTAGTATAAAAACAATTGCTTAAATTTTGATATGAAACATGTCGGTCAAAATTCGATCCAATGATAAATTGTATTTTGCAAACACGGTCATTATAGCGACCATAGAATTCGCAAAATGCTCACTTAACCAAGACTGTTGAAAGTCCTGTAATATCAACATTTTTATCAGTACTCTGCCTCGCTTTAAAAATTGATTGTACTCAGAAAATTTCCTGGGTATACCTTTTCACTAGAGATATAAACACTATGCTGGTCAAAGTGGAATGCGTATTACTACCTAAATAGGTCAAATTGACGATGGCAAAGCCGAATCATCCCGTTTGTCATATACATGTAGTTTAGAGGTTAGTGTTGCTACATGTATTATCTAATACAAGAGAGAGAAATTAGTAAAACAAAAAGACTGAGTTAATATTTTTTCTGACATTTACAGCAGATATTATGTTTAACATGAATTATTTCATTTGACATGGAAAACAATCGGCAAAATCAATTTCTTGACTGATCCAATTTGTATTACCTGCAAAGGTCAAGGTATATATACATAAATTATAAATCTCATGAATATAGAAATTTGTAGCTTAAAGTGACTCTCTGATCAAGATCAGAACTGGTGTTGATTTCGATATATAACAAAAATACAGGCCACAAGTAGAAGAGGGGTTTGTAACATTTTGCAAAAAGTACTCATTGTTTATGAATTGGCATTGATTTTTTTTCTCTTTTGGAAAATATAGACCTTTTTGATATCCATACACTTGATATATCAAACAATAGAACATAAAAACTATAAACGTGTAGAATACAAGGAGGCCAGCTTGCATTCTAAGTTGATAGGAAGAAAACAGTATAATTCAGAAAAATGAACAAATTCTTGATTCCCATTTTCCTATTGCATATATCTGGATATCTCTTGCTATTACTGAAATCAATTCTTGATTCGAAACATGTACAGTCACTGATGTTTCACTTTTCCACTGCTCTAAGTCGAACATTCAGACAGGGGGCCAAAAAGAGCACTTAACTTGTCGTGTTCTTTGGTAGTGGCTTCAGCGCCGATTTGAAGGAACAACATGGTAAATAAACTTTGGACTAAATTAAACTGACTACAGTCAAGAATCTTATTCTGGTTTATAAAGAATTTGTACTTGTAAATACTTACCGTCGGCGTTAAGGTAGGCTGTCTCCAGAGGACCCATGAAAGCGTACCTCCGTCCAAGTCCCTCTGACATCACCTTATCAATGTCCTCCGCGCTCATTACCCCCTCCTAGATTCAAATAAAGAATCGTTTAACTGGGTAGATCTTCTTGCTGTACGTATCTACATGACGGTCACATTAATCAATTTGCAGGATAAATGTGGAAGCTACTGGAAGAAATTTTATCTCTGAAATCTATTTTTAAAAAGGTTCGATCCTGAGGTTTTGAGCAATTATTTTGTCTGGACCTATAGTTCTAAAATGCTGCATCATATTTTTGTTCGTACGATAAATTTAGATTCTAGTACGCCAGTTTAACTATATTCCTTTTTTAAAAAACACCATTAAATTCCATACGAAAAGCATTAAGTGGGGAACTATATTTTGTGTCGGGAAGTTTTTTTTAGAAGAATTTTTTTTAAAAGTAAATATAAACACCTCATATAGTCTCCAGCATTCTCCAATGATTGAGTACTGAATTCTATTAAGGACAAATCCGTCAATCTCCTTCTTCACAATGACGGGAACCTGTCCAATCTCTGTCATCAGTACCTTGGTCGTAACTACGACCTCTGGGTCTGTCCAAGGGGCTGGAATCACCTCCACCAAAGGGGCATAGAATGGAGGATTTGTCTGGGGAAAATAATATTAACCTAAATCATTAAAGGAGAACGAAAAAAATAAATATATAATGAATATCACTTTGCCATATACTTACAAAATAAAATACCTACCAGTATTTCGTACACATATGAATATAAATTTTCTTGTTCCATATTATATAACGCATTCCAGTGGCTTAGGCTTTTAAAGTTGGATAAAATCTCTCTCTCTCTCTCTCTCTCTCTCTCTCTCTCTCTCTCTCTCACACATATTACCGGATGACAAACGATGAATCTATTTTTGTTGTTGAGATTCTCAGAAATAAGAGACGGAACCAATGCACTAGCGGAGCTTGAAATAATGGCGTCCTTTCTACAGATGGGATCGATCTTAGCATGGACCTCCCGCTTCAACTCCAGCCTCTCGTTCACACATTCCTGCCAAAACACTTTATGGTTATTAATCCGTTCAGTAAATGTCCTACTTTTCAGAATATCACGGATTTGTTATATTACAATGCATATTTGAAACTTTTACACCATTGTAACTCGTAAAGCATTTTTATGGTTAGTGTGAACACTTATTGACAAAACTGAAAATACATGTAAAAAAAAATGATGTCTACATTTTGTTTCACTTTTATTTATGACTGTTAAGGATTTCCGCTCCTCAGTCAGAAACGATAACTCTTAAAATTATATTATTTAACTGAATGTCAGAAAATGAAGCTTGAAAATAGAATTTTTTTGTACAACAATTTTTATTTCATGCATTTTAATATGATTCAAGTTTCTTTCATGTCTTCGAAAGGGTTTGTAAAAAGTAGACATTTGGACCCCAAATCAGTAAATTGGTGATTTTATTCACGTTTTCTGAAAATATATTTGAGATTTGAGATAATTTTCCCTTTCAACTGTATAGATTAACTGTATAAATGGTGAATTACTAAGAAATAACACGGGTATATGAACATTACTTTGAGAATTCAGTGACATTTTTGTGAGCATTTTCAAATAATTTACTGCTGATTTTCAGAACCTGAGGAACAGACTACCTTAACTGCATGTATATACTTGTATAAAGAAGGCGTCCTTGACACACTCGGCAAAGTCGTTCGTTCCGGTGATTAGTGCCCTTTGCTCTTTGACTGTAAGTTTTCCTCGCAATAATCCATTTTCAGATAGATGCTCAAGTTGGTCGTCAATGATAGATAAAGCATGCTGAACTTGTTCCGGTTTTATATCGTACATGCGCACTCGATATCCAGCTGCAGCATAAAGCATAGCAAAGCTATGCCCTATTAAACCACTGAAATTTATCATTTCAAAACTATTGAATCAATTTCTTTTTAAACAAATTGTATCCTGACAAAAGAAGTTCCAGAATTGCTTCTAATTGTTCATATACGTTATATCAGACACCACTCATGTTAAATCTCTTATTATAATAATATTAAGGTATGTCACTCGTAGTATGAGTTATATAAAGGATTTTTGAGAAGTATATTTTAGATAACTACTCAACTCAAAATCGCAAAGAAAACCGGGGGCCAGTGTGCATCTTACTAAGAAACGGTACCATTTACTTGATCTTTTAGACTTAAATTGTAACTTTTAGGTCAATCACTTTGACCTTTATCATATTCTAGCAAATGTAATCATGGCAATAAATATCATCTCATTTTATGTATAAAAAAATAATTAAAAAAAATTATTATTGAAAAAAACTTGCAAAGTATTGTGTGGCCTTTTTGCACTAAAATTATCATATTTGGGGTAATAATTAAAAAATAATAATGAAAGAAAAAGAAAAAGTTGTCAGTGACGTAAATTTTGAGATATTGGTCAAAATATGCAATTTTCAGGCGAAAAAAAATGTAAATTTTATCTTGCATTCTTCAATATCTCTTCATTTTTTGGTAAAGTATGTTGAGTGAATGTGTAAAAGAGCAAGGTACGGTTTCAATACAAATCTTGCCCTGCATTTTTCTTGAATATGAAGGTGACGTAAAAAATTATTTTTAGCTCATGCTTTCTGAATCCTTGAAATTCCACGCAGAAAGATCATACAAATCATTTTTCTCACATGACCTTCTAAATGCTAATTGTGACGTCATAAACCTATGCATTTTCCCGTATTTTCTTAAAAAGTTGCAGAAGACATCAATTTTCAATGAAATTTTCTTTCAGATAATATACACCACATGCATTGCCCACAAAGATTTTGAGATATGTGATTTTTCAAAGAATTTTACAAAACATATCCGAAAATTAAAGTGGGCGACGGCTGTGAACACTATTTTCTTAAGGAAAAAATAACTCTTGAAATGGATCATTATGAAGCTTTTTCTATTTAAAACAGAGAAATGCATCAAATTAATGACGTCATATTTCCAGAATGGTCCTCCTCCATGCCATATTTTTTCTTGACTTATCATAGTCATATATTCAACTCATATTTAAGCCAGTTTCAAAACTTTTAGAAAGCGTTAAATTTTAGGGCACAATAAGGCCAAAATCGTACCTACTTCTTTGTTTTAAATATTAATTGGCACCTATATTTAATATTTCCAGCATTTCATAACGAAAACAATTCTCCGAGTAAAAATATGTATGGCTAAAGTTCCAAGATATTAAATCAAACAAATGGTAGATTTGTAGAATTTTCTTCTAAATATCCTTCCAGCACAAGAAATAGTCCCCCATAAATCTTGTTTCTTAACAACTTTGTGAGCAGTTTTTAAATTGAATATTGTATAATTTGCATTGTTTAATTCAAATATGTCATTAAAAATTAATTGTAATATAAACAATTTTGAAGTTAGATGTTCTGACCAAATATTCTCAAAAGCTGACGAGTGACATACCTTAATTGACATGAAGTAATGTAAATGAACAACAAATCATAGAATAAAGCCGTCATATAAAGATTGAAAGTCTATGATAGGATATCTTATATCAATTAAGATGCTATGTTGTTGGTAAGCTGTGATACGATGTTAACAGATGAAGGGGTGTGTTCGAGAAAAGCAAGGTTTCTTTGGAGCTCACGCAGGTTACGATTATTTGCAATTTTTATACATTGCTATTTTGAGATTACATTTCTGGAATTCAGTTCGTTGCTTTTGTTTTTTATCTTTGATCAGAGACCACAGGTTATGTAAATAATGACTAAATAGCGTTTGCAAGAGACCCGGAAGTTATGTGCAGAGATAGGATCATCGGTCTGTCATGAGTTACATTTTTCTCTTATTTAGGACTTTTTTTTAATTTCTAAATTCTATTCATAAATAATTTTAAAGATTGTCACTGCAATCTGACAAGGTGCTCTCAAGGTTTCATGCATTTCACTGGAGCCCAGTACATTCAAATTAAGCCATTTTGTGGTCAAAATATATTATTTCAAAAAGAAATTGATGCAAAGGGGGGGGGGGGCAGATCTTGATTTATAAAGTCCATAAAAGAAATTGCCAATCCTGCTTAAGTAAGGATATCTTAAGATCTTGATTTATAAAGTCCATAAAAGAAATTGCCAATCCTGCTTAAGTAAGGATATCTTAATTGGAGTTTTTCGCCCCCCCCCCCCCCCTGTTGTACACCTATACGCAACTCAGAAAAGTACATATAAAAGACATGGTGTTTTTCTTGTCTTGTTTTGCACCTTATATTTTATGGGTATGAATGACATTCCAACAGCTGTGGATATTTTTCGACTATGCTGAGGTAGGTATGAAATCTTATTTTAAATATGAGAATGTCCTTTGTGTTAAAAAAAACACCTAATTGTTAATTTTGATGCAAACTTTTGACTGGCTTATCATGTCCATCGGTTTAGTTATTCATGGTTTCTCTAGAATGTAATAAGGCATGGGAACTTGTAAAGATAAAAAGTTTAATGTCATGTCATTAGTGATTACCTTTTGTTGTTGATATTTTACAATGTTAGATCTTTAAACATCACATGTTATTGTTAATTAACCCAGTATTCTGACATACCTTCCTATGATTCCAACCTGACGTTCTGACTTTCTGTCCGCCATATCTGGTTATGATCCTTATCTGTCCAGTATTATCTGAGAAATAAGACTTAAATGTTGTGTCAGCACATGTAGAAATACACGTGGAAACCGGTGAAATTTAATATGATATGAACTGTATATCCAGTTACGTATCACAATATGACCCTGCAATGATGTGAATAATTATTTTATGTATGCATAGTCAGGAAAAGTTTCCTCTCTATTTACCGCTAGCTATATAAATTAACATAATCTATGGGTAGAGATTTAAAAGATTCTTGACTTTTTCCAGCAACTTTACAATTGTGGTGTGGTCAGATAGGTTTGATCGCCGGTGGCCAGATATAGCTCAGTTGGTAGAACACCTGACTGGAGATTCAGGAACCCCATGTTCGAATCGTGGTCTGGTATGTCGCATCTCCCATTTCGCCAGTTATATTTGGTGCCTGAATCCCACTGTGGGACGTGGAGACCGGTTTATCGGATGAGACCGTACGTAAAACCGAGGTCCCGTGTCGCAGTAGGTGCTGGCACGAAAAAGATCCCTCACTGCTCAATGGCCCTAAGTACCGAGTATAGGTCAAAATTTGCAGCTCTCCAACGGCAAGTGGTGGCGTCTCCATATGAGTGAAAAATTTTCGAGAGGGACGTTAAACAATAAGCGAACAAACAAACATTTGGTGCCGTGACATGCCCCGGAAACGACAGGTGAAAGACCTGTCAGTGCACAAGCACCTGCAGCCTGGACCCCCCCCCCCCCCAAAAAAAAATTACTAAAAAAATATAGGAGTCTTTAAATCCTCCAAAATATGTTATTTCTCCGTTAATTCTCTCTGTATGTCATTCTGTGTTTAGTTTGTACTTTTGTTACGGTTTAAAAATTGACCATATTATACGGTATAACTTAAATTTTTATTAAACCGTATATGGCCATTTTTTGGGTGATCCACGCTTTAGGTGCCTTTGGTCAGGGAAGAGCCTGGGTTGGTGTCTTCAGGGGTGAAGATCTCTAAGGAGGAAGGAATGTGGCGGTCAGACAGTTTCAATCGCCGGTGGCCAGCTTAGCACGTGAAGAGTGATTCAGGGGTTTGGGGGTGTGAATCCTGGTTTGCTCTGCTGTATTTTTCTCCTTGTCGGACCGGTTACGCCAAATATAATATGTGTCGATGCTCACGACACTTGATCATGTTGATGTCGCTGATAAAGCTGGCAATCACATATGCCAATGGGTAGAAAACTTCAGTATACATTGTCTTGGAGGATCGATGAAGGGTTTCATTATATGCCATAAACTTGGTACTGTCGATTTTTATTTATAAGATTTTCTGAAGAATGTGGAAAGAGTATCTTTAAAAATTATCATCATGCCGTTTTTACAAATAAATATAATAATTCCATCATTACAATACAGTTTTATATTTATTTGTTGAATATATGATGTAAAATATTTTGAAATTTTATATTTCATACTCATTTTCAAGGAATATCGACTTTTTATATCAGGAAGTTATTTTGGATATATATAAGAATTAAATATAAACACATCATAAACCCCAGTATTTTCTTACACTTAAATGAAACAAATTGCGGTACAAGTAATTTGTGTGCTGTCAATGTTTCAACACGACACCGTTTCAACTTTAACTCTTTTTTCAGAAATAAACACCAGAACGGCGCCTCGTATATTTTTTCTGCCTACTTGCCACTCGTTGCCAACTTGCTGCAAGACATATAATTATATAGGGCATACTTGACTTTGATCAGCATGAGATATCATTAGTTACTGTAGATAGATCAGGGGAAATCTTTGCATTCTCAATCTAGATCAGCATTAGCACTAGTATTTCTTGAAATGTCTCATAAAGGGACAAATGACAAACATGCAGATTGTGCACTTACCCCGCAGTTTGCCGTTTTCCGGAAAAAAAACCTACTGATATCCGGGAATGGTTTTAAATTTTATAATATAATCGGTGGTCTTTTAAAAGCTTCATATCACTGTGAAATTATTTAAGAGGTCAAAGCTTTTCCGTTACCAAATTGACAATAAAAATGCAGAATGGATTATGACTTCAAAAGACAAAAAGCTGCTGAAAGACAAAAAGTTGAAGATTTATTTGACTTTGAAGGATGTAAAGTTGGAAGAGGGACATATGGTCATGTATACAAGGCCAAAAGAAAGGATGGGTGTGATTCTTTGTGTCCTATTTTTTGCTTCATATGTTACCGTCATTCATTCTGGTCCAGGGAAATCACAAGATTGAGCAATAAACAGGTCCAGCACTATCTTGATTTAGCTAAATGGGTTAGATTAGCTATAAAGCTTTATTAAGCTATTCCGAATAGCTTGATAATGCTATTTATATGCAGATTTTCACAAAAAATGGGGGTTTTTTTGTAAAAAATGGACAAAAAGTCTTAAGTTTGTGACCATTCAGGGTAGACTTTACTTTACCGGTCCCCAGATCCGCAAGATCCGCGCGCTCATTGTACTATGACGTCAGATTTACGTCACTCAACTGATTAGGGTTGGTTTTGCACATTTTTCGACTGGTTAGGGTTAGTCTTGCACCCATCTGAAAGATTAGGGTTAGTCCTTGCATAAGTTTTCGACTGATTAGGGTTAGTCTGGCATCTATCCGAGAGATAAGGGTTAGTTCTCACACATGGGTTGGTCTAGCATGGTCTAGCATCCACCTGGGAGATTTGGGTTAGTCCTCCCATACCATCCGAGAGATTAGGGTTAGTGTCTTGTTTTTTTTGGTTTTTTTTTTGTTCCGACTATTCATATATGTACTATGGAAAAAATTCAACCCAAATCGGAGATAGTTCTAACATGGCAGCTTTTGAACGCTTTTAACCAAAAGATGGATTTCCATTGTTTGGATTGTTGTACACCACCTTATGTGCATTGACTGAGGCATGGATGAGTATGACCTAATGACTGCTTCACATGGTGCTGAATTATTACCAGTCAGTTAGCTTGCTGACCAGATTTACCTCCTTTATAATTTCTTTCAAGAAGTAAATACATGTATGTAGTCACAAATCAATTGCTTTATATAACCCCAAAACCTTTAGAACTTTTGGTATAAAGTTTCTCAAGGTGATGCAATTTGTTAAGCGATTTTTACATGTATTGTCTTCAGAAGAGTTCAAAGTTGAAAACTATCACTGCACCAACGTGTGTTTTTTTGTACACGCTGAAAAAATAGCACATTTTTTTAATGTGATAAAATAGCTAGATAAAGCTATATAGCTTAATCAAGATATTGTGTCAAACCTGATAAAGCTTGAATTGTACCTAAGAATAGGAATTTTGCAAAGCAATGTTTTTCATGCATTATTTTAAATATGTATGAAAATATAAGCTATCACATCATCAAATTTCTTAATTTTCTACATTCTGAAAAAAAAGTTCAATAATTTAAAAAAATTATTGCAACAGCTTGTTGAAGCTATTTCTTTTTATTAATAAAAATAAATTTTATCATGTTTATAGTTAGTACATGTTGTGTAGCTAAATCAAGAGATTGTGTTTGACCTATGTGAGGTCCCATGCTAAGAGACCTTTATCTCCTCTCAGTTCTCAAGTTTTGTTAAAGGTGCTTGGACACAGATTTGAAGTTAATATTTTCTCAAATTTTCTGTATAATTTCATGACTTATATGTTGCTATAGCATTTCATACTAAAATAAAATAAAAATCTTATTTCATCTCGAAGTTATTGAAACTTCAAATTTCTGGACGCGTTTGATTGACACATCCTTGCACTTTCACAAATTTTAATTTTATTCTTAATACTTAAAAAAAGTGGCAATTTTGTTGTGTATTATTGAAAAATATTAAAACTATAATCCAGAAAATTCAGAGTAGAAATGTTCGAAAGCAAAACCCACTCACAGTATTGTCAGTCCGTGTTCAATGGTGTGTGCAGACTTTAACAATTGAACACACCCGGTGAATCGTAAACATTAACAATAACAGAGCTCGTGCCCTGTTTACAAAAACAGTTTACGTTTCAGGGGTGTATTCAATTTGTTAAACTCTGTACACAACACTGAGCACGGGTTGACGATATTAGTGAGAGGGTTTGCTTTCGCACATTTCTACTCTGAATTTTCTGAATTGTAGATGTAATGTTTTTCATTAATACACAACAAAATCGCTTCTTTTCTTAAATATTAAGGATAAAGATCAAATTTGTGAAAGTGCAATGATGTGTTAATCAAACGCGTCTAGGAATTCGTAGTTCCAATAATTTCTAGATAAAATAAGTTTTTAATTATATTTTCATGTGAAATGCTATTGCAATATATAAGTCGTGATATTATACAGAAAATTTGAGAAATATTAACTTCAAATCTGTGTCTAAGCACCTTTAAGTCTTCCTTTATTTACTATTTGAGAGGGTAGGGAAATTCTTATTTTATGTGAACTCTGCACTAAAAAAATGTACTTATTTTCATTTGATATGTATGTTGCAGATCTGAAAGCAAGGAGTATGCCTTAAAACAGATTGAGGGTACAGGGATATCTATGTCAGCATGTAGGGAAATTGCTGTAAGTAAAGTTAGTGGGAATTATATATGTATTTTAATGAAGTTTCACACTTATTATTCTCTATTACTCTATTGAATCAGGACTGATGGTTGAAACACCATGAACTAAGGATCAGTTCAAAGATAAAGATGGATGTTATTCTGAATTCACTGAATTTCATCTTGTGACCTGCTTAGTAGCATTGACACTTAACAGTTAGTTTGTACAATGTCTGTAAGAAGGAGTCACATTTTAACTAGCTGCAGATCTGTCGCTCACTGAATAATTTTTGGGAAAGGGGGGGGGGGCACTCATGACTGCATTATAGCCATCTGTCTTTTTTATAGCTGAAACTATCCAAGTAGTAGTAGTATTATTTTCTCTAATATTCATAAAAATTCTAAGGTTTTTTTTATATGATTTTCTTGACTAGTTACTGCGGGAGTTGAAGCACCCTAACGTAATCAGTCTACAAAAAGTCTTCCTGTCTCATCAGGACAGAAAGGTCTGGCTCCTCTTTGATTACGCTGAACACGACTTATGGGTAAGTATAATTATGTCATAATAATATATAATAATAATTATATAATTATATCAATACATGTTTCAAGCAAAGACTCCAAGGGATCTGTACTTATAGATGGATAAAGCTATGTGTTGCAGAAGGATTATGTAGGCAATGCCTACTGTCCAATCCAATTATATATTTTACATAATAAAATACAGTTCAACTGTACATTTAAATTATCTTGATGTTGCATGTTAACACTTTTTAGTGAAATGGTTATAGAAATTCATGAAAATTTTTCTCATCCTACATTGAGATTATAAATGTACTGTATTTTCATTTTATATCCATCCAGCATATCATTAAATTCCATCGGTCTGCAAAGGCTAACAAAAAACAGATTGATGTCCCAAGGAACATGGTAAAGTCACTATTATACCAAATCCTTGATGGAATTCACTACCTCCATGCTAACTGGGTGTTACACAGAGACTTGGTATGTCAGTAGTTTCAGTCTATGCTCAGGTTGTGACACATGATTATACTATATACCGGTACCAAATCTTAGAAAGGAATTAATTATTACCGTACTAAATAAATTTTTATTTGCATGCAAGGAATATTTGCAAGTTTTGTGATCTTTTTAAACTTGCTAATATTTATTGTTGTGAATTTCTTATTCTATTGTGTATTTATGTATAATATTTTCAAAGTCACAAAAATTAATAGTCACAGATGGATTTCAGACAGACAATTTTCAAATAAAATATATTGTGAATAATAGTTGGTTTACAGTATTTAGAACTGAAGATATAAATATTTCAAGAAATAAAGCAAGTTGCTTACATTTTTACTGATTTTCTTTCTAAGGATATTCATTATTCAACACATTTTCTTTACTAGAATGTTGTGAAGTTTCACTCTATCAGGATATTGAATCATATTATCATTTGTTTACAGAAACCTGCCAATATTCTTGTTATGGGAGAGGGTGCAGAGAGAGGCAGAGTAAAAATAGGTCAGTATCCGTAAAACTCCAATAAATACCTGATCTAATGATCCATTCTGCATGTTCCGATTTTACATACATGTACTAAGTATAAATCTCAAATTCTTAAATTTAAAATTGCCTGTAAATTTACCTCAGCATTGTAGTTTAAGAAGTGATTAAAGACACTATAAATGCTGAGAATTGTGGTATAGCAAGATTTTTATGAAATATTTTTTTTTTGCATGGTCAGCTGACATGGGATTTGCCAGACTGTTTAATTCCCCGCTGAAGCCTCTGGCTGACCTTGACCCTGTGGTTGTGACCTTCTGGTACAGAGCTCCAGAACTTTTACTTGGTGCTAGACATTACACTAAAGCTATTGGTAAGTGATACACATTTACTGAGGTGTTTACATTGTAATTTGAAATCCTAAAATTAAAAAAAAAAGTTTGAAAGTAAATGGATATTTTATAAGAAATAGTATTATTGATGTGAAAAATTTAGCTTGCCAACAAGGTAAAATTATTTGCAAAGTACAGTTGAACTTCGATATCTCGAACACGAATTTCTTAAATACAATGGATATGTCGAAGTGATTGGAAAGTCCCAAGCCCTTTTTCTTTAAGTATTTTACCCTCAATATCTCGAACCCGGGGATATCTCAAAGTTTTTTCTTGGTCCCATCGAGTTTGAGATAACAAGGTTAGACTGTACAAGTATATATAAAATTTGATCATTGTGTAAAAGCAGCTACCTGGTAATTAGTAATTTGGCTGAACACAATGTTTATTAGTGATATGATAGCAAAGAAAGTGCTCAAGTTTTGGTTTGTCAGTGGTGAGTAAGTGCAAATTAAGAAAATAGTTGTGGGAAAAAAAGCATATTTTAAGAGAAATTCCCAACCCCAGAAAAAAATCTCAAGAGGCATACAATTAATCAAGAATTAAGGCATGTTTTTTTTTCTTTTAGATATATGGGCAATAGGATGTATATTTGCAGAACTTTTAACATATGAACCAATATTTCACTGTCGACAGGAAGACATTAAAACTAGTAACCCCTATCATCATGATCAGCTGGATCGTATATTTAATGTCATGGGTTTCCCACAAGGTAAGGACTGTATATATCTGTAACACTGGCAGATGGTAAGTTATTGTCATACAATGTGATACGATGCTGTGGTTGGCTCTGTTGACAGTATCTATAATGAAGTAACATTACTTCTGAAATTGTGATATAGATTGGGATTAAATGATACATTACGTTTATCACTTACTTATTAAGGGATAAACTTCCATAAAGCGTATGCTAGAATTTTATTTAAAGGCATGCTATCATAAATTTAAAAATATATGGTAAAGTTTTGTTTCAAATTCATAGTTTATCTATCTTACTACATTTATGTCTTGTTTTATACAGTATATTTAGTTTGTCTTAAACATACAAGAATTTGTAGTGTAATTGTGGAATAATCAAATATCAGAGAGTCCATGCACTTACACTTCATCAAATTTCAAAACAAATGAACACTATGCCCAGATGTCATATATATTTTGTGATGACATTCATGAATATGTAGAACATCAACCTACTTGTCTGAGTCTATAGTTCTGTAGGTTTTCATTCAATAATACCGGTAGTATCTTTTGAATTTAGAAATGAGTGTGTACAGTATTTTGATATGAACACAGACTACAGTCAAACTAATCATAATAGATTATTCTGCTATTTCTCTTTACAGGATTTATTTTGTTTTCTTTTGCAGAAAAAGATTGGGAAGACATAAGAAAAATGCCTGAGCATAATACATTAACCAAAGATTTTAAAAGATCAAAGTAATAATAATGCAAAGATAGTCAAATATTGATGTATTAGTTGTAACCTGATGCACTATAAATGAAGAGACATTTACCTTTATTTATGGTGAAAGTCTTCTTTTAAGAAGATTAATATGTACCTTTGTCTGCCAGGAATTTTTTATGCCCCATTAGAATTTCTTTCATGATTTTTGGAAAATCATATTTCATACTATCATATCAACTAAACCAGTTTTACTGTAATGCATTAGTAGGATAAATGCAAAATTTCAGAAATTCAAAGGATGTTTATAGCCAGATATAGGGTATATATTAACATCTACATATATATACAAATAGTGATGTTTACACCCAGAAATACGCAAATTAAAATTTAGATAATGTATATGAATAACTATTATCAAACATGTGAAAATAGTCATTTCTATGGTAAATGTCATTGCATACCGTGGTAATTATATAATTTGTAATTTGCAGCTATTTAAACTGTACACTGGTTAAATACATGGAGAAACATAAGATAAAGGCAGATAGCAAACAGTTTCACCTGGTAAGGCTACATATACAGTATGTCTTTCCTTTTAAAATACAGTTAACTTCGGTATCTCAAACACTGATATCTCGAATACCATGGATATATCAATATGATTTGGAAGACCCAACCACTTATTTTTTAAGTATTTTACCCCTAATATCTCGAATCCTTGGATATATCTAGAAGTTTTTTCTCCGTCCCATCAAGTTCGAGATAACGATGTTTGACTGTATGTGGAAAAACTTTATAAGCTTAGCAAAGAGATATATTATTCACACAAAGCAATCTGCTTTCTTTTATCATTGTTTATTGTTTTATTGTATTTATGACTATATGCCACTGTATGATGATGTTGTCAGTAAAATGAATTGAATTTACATACAATTTGACATTGCTACTGGAGCCTCATTAGAAAGAAAATGAAGCCAATTTAGTATTGGTCTCATTCTAATTGTTACAAAATTTACTAAAGATGATATCAGACGGTTTGGTAAGTCCTTAGACAAATGATTTTGTTGATTAAGACTATGATTTATATTGTTCCTGTATTGCACACAGGTACTTGGGGTCAGAACCCCACCCCCCCCCCCCCCCCCCCACCCCCTTTTCCATTTTTTTTTCTTTTTAAATATGGGGTTGTGTCACCTTTTTCCTATATTTCTGTTCTAATATGCACTACATGTTATCGATAATGTAACGCTTTTGTCTCTGTAAGCTGTTTTTAAATATCTTGTTTTCGGCTTTTCTGTATCAGTCGAAAACAAGATATTTAAAAGCAGCTTATAGAGACAAAAGGGTTACATTATCGATAACATGTAGTGCATATTAGAACAAAAATATGGGAAAAAGGTGACTCGACCCCATATTTAAAAAGAAAAAAAATGGAGAAGGGGGGAGGGGGGTCCTCCAGACCCCATGTGCCTGTGGTATTGCAAGCCAGTTTTGAGACTCTTTCAAAGGAAATGTAGCAATATGTACTGAAATAGTTACTCAAACCTTTTCTGGCAATTTTATTTCAATACAATGTTATCTGAATTTAGATTTAAACATTAACTTTGACACATGTATTTTTTTTGTTATTATGTCTGATACATGTATTTGATATATGTTTTTATGCCTGATACATGTATTTATTCGTTTCATGACTGACACATGTATTAATTTTGTTGTTTTGCCTGTAGCTACAGAAACTACTCACCATGGACCCGACCAAGAGAATCACCTCAGATTACGCAATGAAGGACCCATACTTTACAGAGGAACCTCACCCATCTCAAGAGTAAGGAAGGGGAAAATAAACACATAATTTAGGAAACAAGAAATTAGAAATATACATGTAGATCTATCTACTGAGCTGTTACTTATGTAATTACATGTAGATATCTAATATCTGTTTGACAAAGGATATATGTATATATAAAAAGATACACTTCTGGGGGCCATTCATAATTATGGTAGGCAATCAATTGAAAAATATTAATACCTGTTTTGCAGTATGTTTGAGGGAAAACCAGTACCTTACCCCAAGAGGGAGTTTCTGACTAATATTAATGCCTGTTTTACAGTATATTTGAGGGGAAACCAATACCTTACCCCAAGAGGGAGTTTCTGACTGACGAAGATGATGATAAAGCAGATACCGGGGCCAGCAAGGTAGGCCGAGGCCCCCCCTCCCCCAATCATGTAACAGCCCAGTAATGTAGACAACAGACCTGAAATTTTACATATTGCTACAGTCTCAAAAAGATGCACATCATTTGGTCTCTACTGTTTTAATAACAGGTGTAATTTATTCAAACCATTATGATACTCTGGAAAAAATTAGTGTTCTTAAAATATTTTCCTGCCCTATTCTCTTAATGCCCTATAGAGGCATTGGTCCAAATAAAAAAGCTTTAGTGTTGCAATGCTTAAAAAGCAATTTTTCTCCAGATCCTTTTAAGAATATCTGAGGGAATATGCTTTAGTAGCACTGTATCTTTAAATCTGTTGTTGTAGGCTACAGATCAGTCCTCGAATCACACACAGCCAGCCAAGCGTGTCCGTGTGATGCCCCCCTCCACCACCAGCACTAATTCCTCTATGGTAACTAGTGACTACCAGGTAACCTCTAAAAATTTTGACCACTTGACCATTGCATGCGGGCCTGCCATTAACCAACGCATGACTGTATGTTCTGCTGTTGTTGAGCCTTGTATTTACTGAGTCAAGTTTTAAGGTCTGATTGAAATATCTAACAATACATTGAAGTGTTTTGATTTCTTTCTTAATGATACTTTAGAATGTTACAGTTACATGTTTGTAATTAGAATTTTAAATTCATTTGGAAAAAAGAGAGAAAAAAAACAATTACTGGTAGATTAACAATGAACATTCACTTGATGTGTTCATGACCTGTTTGTTTCCTTAAGTTTAAAAATTGTTTTGATAATGCATTGAGTCTTAGAGATATTTGTACATGTATATTGGTCCATGTCTAGATCAATGAATATACATGTATATTATAAACTCCACAAAATGTGAAGGAAGTTTGATGACGATTGCATGCTGTTTTAGTGGTCATATTTTTAATGTGTTGCCTTATTATTACATAAATGTTGGCTTCGGTTGAACAATCATTGTGTAATAAAGAGGCTATGAAATGATAAAGAATTTACATTTATTAAATTTTTATTTATTTTATTGATTCCAGTTGTGATAGTAACATGATAAACCTATTACATACATATAATTCATAAATTCAGTTTTACAAGATAATTGTAAATTTTAAGGATGCAGAATATATTTCGTATGAATTTTGAAATATTCTTTTAAGACATAGGAGTACCCTTTGACATTAGATGTTATTGCTTATGTAAACTAACTCTGCACGGTGCTATGATATTTGTTTACACTGTCTGTATGGATGTGAGTATAACATGTTATCTGCTTGACATTAACTGAGGAGAGTTTCCAGATATATAGTCTGGCAGTACTTAAACCTTTGATGTTGTTCTAAAGGTTGCTATGATGTTCTAGTGAAATGTAATCTCAGATTTCTCTGTAATTCCCCCCTAGTAAAACTTGACATTGACACTGATTTCATACAGAGTGGAAGTGCGGTGTTCTCCCTGATTTCAGTTCCGATTTTACTTACATATACATTTGGCAGAAATCATCAAGAAAAGTTACATTTACAGTAAAGTGGTTTAGAAGTGTAAATTTACAAATTCAAATTTTTAAGTGATATGATCCATAGTTTTGCATATTTTTAGGTATGTGTTTGAAGTTAAAAACATGTTTCTTTAAACAACTTGCCATGGAAAATTTTAACTAATTTCAATACCTGTATTAAAATTAAATTGAATGACCACTCTATTGTTTTGCATCAAACCTATTTAAACTCTACATCTATTCACCGGTATTATCAAATTTATATCTGAATATGGGATTTGATGTTCATACTTCCACATTATTTTGATCCTCATGCAGTTCTAAGTCTGAAAACTGCATTTTAATTGGCTTTAGATTTTTTTGAGATCTGAGGTTTTGAATTTTGTAATTACCAACATCACTATATTTATATATACTCATAAGAAAAAAATAAACCTGTATGCCAAGTTTTTTTTTCAATATCGAAATATTTGCAAAGTGATGGACCATACCACCTTAATATTCTTTACTTTTTGAAATTCATGTTTACATACCAAAGTCTAAAATATACATACAAGTTCAGAAAAGATAATTATAATTCTAAACTGAAATCTTGGTCCACCTCAGTGTCAAGCTAGCTGTGACCTTTGCCTGCTTTGTCGACTTAAAACACTGGACAAACTCAGGGAAATAAGTATGATAGCTTAAGTCAACATCTCTACTCAGATTGTAGTCAGTATCAACTACGCATCTTAGTAACACATTACAAACAGAGAGAAATAATACAGATAGCTTTAGTCAACATTTCTACTCTGATTGGTGGTCATTAAATACTCAGATTGTAGTCAATATCAGCTACTCAGATTGTAGTCAATATCAGCTACTCAGATTGTAGTCAATATCAGCTACTCAGATTGTTAGACAATATCAGCTACTCAGATTGGTAGTCAGTATCAGCTACTCAGATTGTTAGACGATATCAGCTACTCTGATTGTAGTCAACATCAGCTACTCAGATTGGTAGTCAATATCAGCTACTCAGATTGTTAGACAATATCAGCTACTCAGATTGTAGTCAATATCAGCTACTCAGATTGTAGTCAATATCAGCTACTCAGATTGTTAGACGATATCAGCTACTCAGATTGTAGTCAACATCAGCTACTCAGATTGGTAGTCAGTATCAGCTACTCAGATTGTTAGACAATATCAGCTACTCTGATTGTAGTCAACATCAGCTACTCAGATTGGTAGTCAGTATCAGCTACTCAGATTGTAAGACAATATCAGCTACTCAGATTGGTAGTCAATATCAGCTACTCAGATTGGTAGTTAATATCAGCTACTCAGATTGTTAGACAATATCAGCTACTCAGATTGGTAGTCAATATCAGCTACTCAGATTGTTAGACAATATCACTACTCTGATTGTAGTCAACATCAGTTACTCATGTTAGTAAAACTTGACAAACTATGAGAAATAAGTCAGCTTTAGTCACTGTCAGCTACTCATATTGGTAGTATCAGACAAACCATAAGAGAAATAATTTAGATTTAGTCACTGCCGGCTACAGTAACTCTTATTTGGAACACTGGACAAACTGTTGAAAATAAGTTAGCTTTATTGAACATCAGCTACTCACATTGGTAATACTTGACAAATTTAGAGAAATAAGTTAGCTTTAGTGAACATCAGCTACTCAAATTGGTAATACTTGACAAATTCAGAGAAATAAGTTAGCATTAGTGAACATCAGCTACTCAGATTGGTAACACAGGACAAACTCGGAGAAATAAGCTTTAGTGAAAATCAGCTACTCAGATTGGCATTTTAGGGTAGTGTTTTTCGGGGAGTACTCAGCTTAGGTAATCCTTAACCCAGTGCTGATAATCAGAATCAACCTATGTTAATCTTTGACACTACTTTCTGTGTAGCTCTCCACAGTCTGTCTAGTTCTCCACTAAGGACTGAAAATTGTCCCGTAAGTAGCTTGTATGAGGCTCCTATAGGGTTATTTGTCAGTAAAATTTAAAAGGCACATTACTACTGAGTGCTACTGGCCTACAATGTACAAGTACCATCCCTGTTTATGAGAGTCTCTCCCCCACAAAATCTTACCTGGATTTTTTTTTAACTATGACAACCTAGTTATGTATCTAGTCAGAACTGAACAGTAGTCTAGAAAGGGGATTTTGAGTGATTTAAAAAAGTCATATTTTAGGGTTGTGACTTTAGATATAAAAAGTGATGGAAATAAATTTGATTAGAGAAGGAATTTCAAGAGGTTCCAAATCTAGAGGACCCATTTACTGAATTGTTACCTCACAAATTCACAGTTAACCTTTAAAGCATATTGACATTTAATTATACATACATGTATATTAGGTATTAACCATCATTTCTTATTACTTCATCACTTGTGTAGTGTCCTGCAGAACTATATAAAAAAAGTAGCCATTAACATAATTATGCCAGTAAATTATGACAACTGTCATCAGTTTCTATTTCAAGATTTTTATATGAATGTGTACTTGAATATTGGATAACCAAGTTACCTTGCAACCTAGTAATACATAACAGTTCCATATGTAAACTTGAAAAAATGTTACTCACTGGAATAGCTGTATACCACAATTGTGTAACCTTACCATTGCCTTATTTAAAGCCTGTGATTTGACAATGTAGTCTTGGACCACTACGAGCCAGTAATGTAGAGCAGATCTTTACATTTATTGGTCGTGCTTCGTTCCACCAGTTCGCCATCTCTTACGGTACTGTATCAGTGTGTATTTGATCTTTTGTTTACATGACTGTTCTATATATTTCAAGGGAAACGGCTGGCAAACACGCAAGTCTAGTGTAAGTCGACATTCTTTCTGCTTTCTTCTACCACCGCAGTCTCCTGTTTTTGTTTTCTTCTCCATCTGCATGTATCCAACCACCCTGAATGTTAACTGTTCACATTATAAATGCAGAGATGGGCTGTAGTTTTCAATGATTTCCTATTTTTCAAGCAAGTACCCTTAAATTGGCTTTTAACCTTCCAGAAATTACATATAAGGGGTTTTTTTTATTTGTTTTTTGTTTTTTTTTTTAGCTTGATCTGCTCATTTTTATCTCAATTTGTCAGAATTGGAATTAAATTCTGGAATTTACAATTCAGTTCTGGGAAATACTTGTATTTTTATATATTTAAATATCTGTTTACCCACCTTTTGAAATAAAAAAAAATCTATATATTTATGCTTCAGTTTGATAGAAGTATTATATAAAGAGCTGTGATTATTGCTTCACAAATTAAGACTAATAAAGTTATAATGTCATAATGTAATTATATCATAAATAGATCAGTCATGCTGAGTTTTATAAAGTTTACAACATACATATGTGTACATGAATGATTAAATATTTACAATTGAGGCCCTGTTAGTAATAGAACACTCATTTTCGCATATTTTTTTTCCTAATTCATATGCACATCTTTGCATTTGTAATCATGGTATTTGTTGACAAGATTTTACCTGCTTCATATATATGCTGTAACAAATTTGTATGAAGAAAAAAATATTATGTTCATTATTTCAGATACAGTCATTTTCCATTAATATCTTATATATTGATACAAAATAGGATTTATTTAGTAACTCATGTGTATTAGCGAGCCTAACAATTCAATACTTTTACACATACATATCATTATGAAGAAATTAGAGCCAAAACAATGTCATGTCCATGACTGCAAAAGTCAAGAACATATCTACCTACATGTATTACAAAAGCAGGTGGATTATTAGCTCAGGACATCTGCACTAATGAACCAATACGTACATACTTGTTTTAGATGTTTGTTTTTCAGTGTGAGTTCAGTAGATGCTTACAGATGTGTGTTTTACTGATTCAGAACAGAAATCACATCATTTCAAATCACATATTATCACTTTCCCTGACTTTGGTCAGAAATCACAAAGTTCATCTCCATGGAAATTGGTTAATTATACCCTCAATGTGACCATTTCATGTCCATCCATTCATGATCTCATTACCTGTGATCCCACAAACAACTGATCGATATGTAATTCTTAAGTCTGAGAAAAATAATTGCGATTCTCAAATAATATCACTTTATTTCAAAGAAAATAATACTGTTTGTTACTTATGAACATTTACTAGAATAACAAGCACTAAGGGCCATTTTGAATCTACTTGTATTAAATACATGATAAGTACCCATACTAGACGTCTGTGGTGAATTTTAAATGATGTTTTTGATAGTTTGACTCTTGAAGGATAATACTTCTTATATGATAACAGTGGTAAATTAGCAATGATATCAGTTACATTCTAGGATTTCAAGAAATTAAAAAGGTGAATACTGGAGGTGTCTTAATGAAGATCTGCTTCTTTTGTAGCACATACACAATGTACAGGGCGGCACTCAGCCAGGAATGACCTTCACCTCTGGTGGTGTACAGACCTCAACAAGTTCTACAACGAATTACGGCCCTACGTCCCGATTCTGAATGTCCTGGCGCTATAGGTATCAAAACATAACAAGAATACATTCACTTTTTCTCAGCTGGTGGAGGATTTTGGAAAACTTATTAACGATGATGAAGATTTTCTCTCCCCAAGATAAAGGAGGATTTTGGGATTAGAGTGATCATCAAAATTTCTCTTTACTCCAGTATGTGTATCCATGTATTATGTCAGGGGTTTGTAACTTTCATTTTGTAGAATGATATATAATTTTTGAAGATACCTATTGTTTTAATTACATTGTATGCAAATTTGCAGATGACATCATGAAGCATTGTTATATTGATTCATGCTATTAATTAAGTCTAGAACTATAAATTAATGTATTAATGAATGTTTTGTGATAAATGTAACAATCAATTATTTCAGGTGTTTAACAATGAATTTCATTCTTATGACATTTGAAGAGAAAATAAGGGCAAATATGTTATGGTAATTCAAGATGCACAATAAAATATTTTTAATTAAAATTTTGTCTTTTATTTAACAAACTGAAAACTATGCAAGGCATCTTCGTGTGCAGATCATATTTAACAATCATATTCTTTGATCTATCAATGTAGATACAGTTAAACTTTGGTATCTTGAACACTGATATCTCAAATACCATGGATATGTTGTACTGATCTGGAAGTCCCAATCACTTATTCTTTATGTATTTTACCCTCGATATCTCGAATACTCGAATATTTCGAAGTATTTTCTCAGTCCCATCGAGTTCGAGATAAGGAGGTTTGACTGTATTTGATTTAAATAAGATTGTCACATTTCAGAGCTTTTTAAACTCACACAAAGCTTATGTTGGATTATTTGTCTAATTATTGCTATAGCAGTTTGTAATGAAATAGTCAAAATGTATGACATGCACTGGTATCACAAAAACATGTGAAACATGAGAAACCAGGTTTTTCCATTGGAACAAAATTGAAATGCAAAAATTCCCTAAGTTGATCCCAGATGTAAAAAAAAATTGTTGATTACAAAAATTTTAACCACACATGAATTTTATAAGGCCCTGTTACCTTAACCCTGTCTGAATGACTAGAGGTTAGTGGCAAGATGTTCTCTGATCATAAGCTATCTTTTTGCCAAGCATAAGTTTCAGAAGTTTCTCTCTGATAAGTAGAAAAGACAATCCTTTGAACTAAGTCTCAAGAAGTTTTTCTCCATTACAAAGCCATGGACCAGACAATCATATTACACTCTCAACCTCTGCAACTTTGACATTTTTAAAAGGATATTTTGTTCAAGACCATCACACATTTTCTAGTTGAAAGTTGCCATCTGATGAAGTCTCTGTATTGTATGCTTAAAAAGTTACTAGCATGCAAAGTTAATGTTGCTGGCAATAAGAGACCAATAAATAGACGGTCAGAAGTAATCCCTCTCAAAAGTACGTCTCGTATTTAATCAACATTCATTACTTAAGTTAGAGTTATTCCCCTAGTAACAATTAAGATTGGTTCAAATACTTGAGGTAAGTTTGTTAATTTAATATTGTTTATGCTGGTGGCTAAATATCCCAGTTTAGGGAGAAATCGGGGTGCTAGGGCTCTATTCCTGGCCTGCACAACTGTATTTTCTCCCTTCTGTTACTCTTTGTGTAGTGCCACATCTTAAAATGCAAGGTTAAAGCTCTACCGAACTAAGATGGGTGAACCCGGCTATGTGCTTAGAAACAAGCGACCCAGCTAATGTACAGTTATGGAGATGTTGTATATCAATCAAAAGCTTCACGTCTTGGAATAAACTGATTTCGATATTACTATCTCCAAGGACACCATGTTGAAAACGCCTGAACCTAGAAATTTTTTTTCCGGCTGAATTGGGTCACTTGGCTTGATTTGTGCACAATACTGGGTCACAGACAAGTGAGCTCTCTTTCAAGGGGAGATACTTTAGAAATAAAGAAACATGGCCCCAGGGCTAAGGTTGGGACAGAATTGAAGGGTCCTATTTTTTATACTGGGCAGAGGGAAAAGCATTAAAAATGTGAAGATCGACATTTAGTTATAGTCATATGGAAGCATTCCCATGTAGTGTAGATTCAAAGTTCAAATCATGTCCCATGGGGATATGGTGGGTCCACGATAAGGGAGCAAAAATTTACTTTGAATATACAGGAAAAATATTCAAGATGTTCAAAAATGGCCAAGAGGGATATGATGTGTTCCAACTGGGATTGGAGAGAGGGTTTTACTGAAATTCAGGAAATATCTATAAATATCACCTTCTAAAGAAATGTAGGGCTAAAATTAGTTGAAGAAATAGTGAAGCATCTTCACGCAGAGTAAATACAGATTTCTTTTCAAATCATGGTCTCTACGACAAGGCCTGGGCCACAACAGCGAGTCAAAATTTTACATGGGAATATGTAGGAAAAATATATATACATATATATATCATCTGCTCAAGAAAGTGGAACAACAATTATAGTAATATGCAATCATTCCATGTAATGCAGATTCAAAGACTTTTAATATCAAACCATGAGCTTGGAGACTACATTTGGGGCGACAACTGTGAAACAAAATACAGTTGAACTTCGGTATCTCGAACACTGAAATTTCGAATACTATGGATATGTCGAACTGATTTGAAAGTCCCAAACGCTTATTCCTTAAGTATTTTACCCTGGATATCTTGAATCCTTGGATATCTCGAAGTATTTTCTTGGTCTGTTTGAGATAACGAGGTTTGACTGTATAGAGACCCACAAGAATAAGACGACTAACAATTTGTCAAGTTGAAATCTAGCCTTTTAAAAATATACTACAATTTAAATTTGTTGACATCACATACTAGTATTTTAATAAACAGAACATGTATTTTAAGTGGGTTTTTTTCAATTTCAAATAAAAACTGCATATTTTTTTTAAAAATCAAAAAGCTTTTGTTTTGATTAACATTGCTAATCTTGGATTGTTTGAAAATGCCTCCATTTTCTGAAAATAATTTGCCATCACATATACACTGATAAGCTGTGGTTAAAGAGGAGGCCCTATAAAGGCTCACCCAATAAATCATTTCATCCAACAAATGACCTTGAAAAAGATTGAACTTTATCAATCAAGATCACAAATTGGTGCAAGTCCTTAGTCATGTATATGTCACAGGTGGTGAAAAATCAAGTCTTAACCAGGACTCGAACCCAGAACCTCTTGTGTACCGTGCCAGTGCTCTAACCACTGAGCTACTGAGACCCGATATATTGACTTTCACACACCTGTGAACCCGGTGACATATATATACATGTACTGTTTTTCCTTTTGGCATATGAATGCAACTCTTCAATGAAGAGATAGCCTATCTAGCAATCACTAGATATAGAATCACTAGAAAAGAATATTTTTGTCTTAAAACTAAAAAACTCCGATCATTCTTGTTTCTCTTCAAGGGAGTAGATTAAAACTTATTTGGATCAAGAAGAAATTCTCTGTGATATTGTCTCAGATTTTTATTGTTTTGCATTATGCATCTACTACACTGTACAATAACTCTCTTGGCATCTTCTCTCTCAGTACCTCAGCATACACATTTATTGTAATATACTTCAATGTAAATATACTAAAAAATTTTGTACAAAATCAATGAGTCACCAATTGTTCATCTTGAAGAATATATCAATATACATGTACAACAAATATTGCTCATAAAATCATTTTTTCCATTATAGTTCTCACAAAATACAAATACACAGCCTTGGTGTACATTATGTCAAAAATGCATATCTTGTGTTGGAAGTTTTTCATGATTATAAAACTGGAAAAAAAAAATTACTACATCTGAAAATTTGATAAAAATCAGGAGAGTAGAGAGTAACATGTGAAACTTAAAATTTCTGACAAATTGAAAACTGTGATGTTATGAATACAGTGTCATCTTGAATTTAATTGACAACCTTTGATGTATATCTGCACCACTGCAGATTTCTATCAGTCCATTTATCCTCAAAACAAACATTTACAATTGTCAGGTACTGAAGCTTCCCCCAAAACTGTTTATTTCTCTGATTGCTGCATCTTCCACAACTTTCAATCACTTTTGACAGACTCTTGCACTGAAAATAAGCACCATAGTACAATCACCCACCGTAAAAATGTAATTTCTCATGACACAAACACTTGCTCAGGTAGACGAAGACACTGGTTGTGTGTGAAATTTGGCTTCCTGTATTTCTCGGACCAATCGGATTCTGTGTAACATTTTGTTCATGGCCTCCACTGATAAGTTTTGTGTAGAATACCACACAGGACTGTCGGGGACACAGGAACGCTCTGGGACTAGGTAAAAGGCGTCACTGCGATTCTTTATACTCTCTGGGCTGTAACAGAGCAAAATAGGAAATCAATTTAATGTTTTTAAAGTTCCTAGACTTTAATATGATAACTTTAGACCATGCAAAATGTATGACCATGTTTACAATTTATATCTTATTGAATCTCAGAAAAGTTCTGCTTCAGTACTTCTATTGAAAACATTTAATTAAGCTAGTAAGCAGAAATTGTGCTATTAAGCTCAAGTTCAATCTCAATGCTTTTTCCTTTATCTGGTATAGTGCAATTCAAACAAAGCTTTTCGCTTCAATAAACTAAACCATTCTTAAAATCAAAGTTATCAATAAATGTTTTTGATAGTTTTTTAGTAAGTGCTGAAAAAAATCCATCTCATGTGATGTTTTTAAGAAACTACCTTTACCCAAAATGTTAAGCATGCAAAACAAGCCATATCGCTCACATTGGAAATTCAGAACATGTGTTACTGTGATGCTAAAATACTCTCTTTTATCAAAGAATACACAAGTACTGTACATGTACTAGTCATTTTCATTTACAGATCTCATACATTACCCTTCTTTGCAAGGAGTAAATGACCTTGAGCTATTTAAGGAAAATGTTTCTTAAATTGATAAAACATTTTTTTTTCCCTAAACAATGATATGTCTCAAATTTTGTCCTGTATGGTATACTTGATATGCCTCAATTTCATTTTTATCTCCATTATTTTTATGCCCCTGGATAGAAAGATCCCAGGGGTATATTGTTTTTGTCCTGTCTGTCTGTTTGTCTGTCTGTTGTTGTCAACTTTAACCTAGCCCATAACTATTGCGCTGTCAAGGGTAGGGTTTAATATTTGACATGAGTGTTCATTATGACAAGACCTTTTCTTGGGTATCACCATAGATGACCTTTTGACCTTGACCTTGGAGTTTGACCCAAATTTTACCAAACTTTAACCTTGGCCATAACTTTTGAACGGTTGGTGCTAGGGCTTTCATACTTCACATGTGTAATCCTTGTGACAAGACCTTCCTTTGGATACCAACAACTTTGACCCTATGACCTTGACCTTGGAGTTTGACCTACTTTTGGAAAACATTAACCTTGGCCATAACTTTTGAATGGTTGGTGCTAGGGCTTTCATACTTCACATATGTAATCCTTTTGACAAGACCTTTCTTTGGATACCAACAGCTTTGACCCTTTGACCTTGGAGTTTGACCTACTTTTGGAAAACTTTAACCTTGGCCATAACTTTTGAACGATTGGTGCTTCGGCTTTCATATTTCACCTATGTATTTCTTGGGAGAAGGCCTTCCTTTGGCACTATTAATTTTGACCATTTGACCTTGACCTTGATGTTTGACATACTTTTGAAAAATTTTTTTAATCTTTTCCAAATCTATTCAATGGTTGTTGCTAGGCCTTTCATATTTCACAGGTTTATTCCTCGAGACAAGACCTTACTTTGGGTATCAACATATTTGATTTGCATTTGAGAAAGTTTAACTTTTGCTAAAAGTTGCCATACGGGGGCATCAGTGTTTCAGTAACACATCTTGTTTTATCAAAGGGTTTTTCCCTGTATAAGCACCAGAGAGATGACATTCATACATTGATCAGAACTCTATTCTACAAAGGGAAGCTGGGTAGAGAGCACTGAGATTGAACTTACTATTTTCTATAATCACTAGGCCTGGAATATAGAAAGCATACAATCACTCAATGTACAGACAGTGAATATACAGTCAAGAAAAAACACGATCAAGTATACAGGTGCACTGTACATATAAAGACAGTGGCTACAGAAACTGCACATCCCATAGAGGCAGAGTGATTTTTAAACATTCTTATGTTTTCTTCTGAAAACTTACCATTTGGAGAGATAGAACTCGTACAACTTGACTGGACACCTCAGAGGATTTTCTACATTTTCAGCTTGCTCATAAATTGGCAGTTCCTCCTTTTTCTTGGCCTTTTGAGAATCATCTACAATTACATGTAAAAAGATGCAAAATTAAATTCTTAGGGTTTATATACAAATACATCACATGTACTTGTGAAGTGAATCATTTCAATTTTGTACCCTGGTACTTGTATGAATACTGCATATTTGTTTTGAATAATAGTTTCAAACATTATTTCTGCACAAATGCATCAAGAAACAATTCCATAAACTCGAACTTTATGCAATAACTACTGAATATTCCTATTAGTAATACATTGTAAATTAAAAGAAATTATGCATGAGAAGAAGGACAGACAAACAATAATAAAGGATCTGGGCTTTAAATAACTGATGATCCATTGGTCTGGCGCAAGTAATATTGATTTGGGTGCTTTGCAGAAAGCATGTGTTCTCTGGGCCATGTGCACACATTTGTACATGTATCTACTCAAACATATACTGAAGGTTCCTGACTTACTTTGATTTTTGACTGGTGTCGGGCAGTAGTATCGGAGGAACACACTTCTTCCAGAAGAATTTCCTTTTCCTGGTGGCGACTTTTTCCAGTGCTTCATGATATGTGTAAACGAGAGCTTAAGGTGGTCTTCTGCTGATTGAAGCATGAAGTACTTGGTGTTGAAGTAAACAAGCGTGTTCAGTAGAACGTGGGGCGAGTGGGCACCCAGCTGCTTCGACTCCCAGAGATGTTCCTCCTCAATACGACACACCAGCTGACCTATTAAAAATCAATACATAGGTTTCCTCGCAAATCCAAACTAACTAACACAACTAATACTACCTAATAATTAATATTTTCTTGAATTTACATATAATTTAATTTAATTTGTTTTAACAAGTCCATAGACATTTGCAAACATGTGCAATATTCAAAATGTGTAAGGTTGCCATAAAAGTTTGCATACTGATTATATCATGAAAATTTGTTCACACTGAATTGATTGCAGATATTTTGCAAATACATACTACACATTTCTATTGGTGTCATCTCTGATATACAGAATTATCAGTCAAATTACAAGTCATCACAATCTGACATTGTAAATACATATACATGTAATTTTTGACTTCAATTTTTGAAAAATAAATACAATCTTACCAGCAGCATTAACCTTTGGTTGGTAATGAATAAGTAATTCATTTAAACACTCGGTGAACTTCTCATAATACATATCAGTGAAGATGTTGTCAATCCTACCATTCTCAAATAGATACTGCTGAATACCTGTCAGAGAAAACCAAATATACATGTATGTCAAGTTAATATTGCTGATTCTTATAGTTTCTCAATCACATTTTATCACATTATACATTTAACTGGATTTACTGATATTTACATAGACACATGTAGTAAACATTGTCATTTACATAAAGGTAGACTTTACCAATATTTAACTAGACACAGGTAAAATACATCAACATTTATATGAAGGTAGTGTTTTCTGATACTGTAGAAGTATTTTTTTCCATGTGGTATTTATTTATACTATGTACATGGTCACAAATTTTTTGCAGAAATAGTCCCAGTATACTTAAAAGTACATTTAAGGATATAGTGGCAATCTAGGAAATGCATGTAATTTTCAAGGCTTACTGATTTTTACCTAGAAAAGGTAGAATTTACTAATATATTTACCTAGACACAAATAGAATATACTGTCAGGTGCATACTCCTCCCCGTTTGGTTTCCTAACCTCTTTCACAAACAAACACAGAGAATAATTCAGTTCATCAGCAGTACAACCCATCATATCCGTTTTAAACATCTTGAGTTTTCCTGAGCCTTGTTTAGACACTTTTTCCAGCTGAGCGTTCTTCTGTACAACCCAATGCTTCCAGGCATTGACACCGTATGTGTACTTGAGATACATGTTAGCGTCCGGTGCCGGCTCCTGAACTTCAGGTTCTGGGGGCTCACTTATGCTCTCCTCCATGGGAGTTTCTACCTGATGATTCACTTTCTGGCGTTTATTTCTGCGTTTATTTCCACCACCTCCCCTTGAGGAACGTTTCGTGGAGCCCCGTCCTGACCTTGTTTCTCGAGGGACATAAACCTCCTCTTCATCCTCCTCTGGGGGAGGTTGTTCAGGGACTGGTTTAGGAGGGGGTGGAGGGGGTTCTGTAAATTATAGTAATTATATATTTTAATTAATTTTCAAAATTGAGAATCTTAATTTTTTTTAAAAAATAAGCTGCATTATGGTGTGATAAGTAATCATGAATAAAACATCTCAAGGTTTGCAACAAAAGTAACATCCCACCCACCAAAACACACACACTATTAGGGACTGTATTCATGTTTCATTTAAAATTTATTACAATAGCTGTAACTTTAAGCAATAGAATTGTCAATAGCTTGTTTTATATAAGGAAAAAAATTTCCTGCTTTATTCAGTGGTTTATAATATCAGATGAACCTTCAACAATGAGAAAGATTTACAAATTTCGATATTTGGACATTTAAATAATGAATTGATTAGAAATTTTTTGTAACTCAGTGTAATTTTTTTTCTTTTATTTTTTTTCCAAATATTTCTATAGGCCTCAACCTATTGTTCCTCAAAGAATTCTTCAACAGTTAACTTAATACATGTATACATGTACCTGTGTTAACTGGGACTGGCTCTATAGAATTCTCTAAATCCATGACAGGTTCAGACAATTCTGAGGCCATTCTTAGTGCCATTTGTAACATGTCCTCTCCGAGGTCTCCATTGCTCTCCGCTGGTGTGGCATCTGTGGTCGTCTCTGGACCGTTAGTCTTGGGAGTTGGTATTGGTGATTTGCAACTTTTCTTTCCTGAAGTGATTGAAGTGACTCCATTGAAAAAAAAAAACATTAACACAATGCAAAAGGAAATTTATATTTACAGTTGAACTTCGGTATCTCGAACACTGATATCTCAAATACCATGGATATGTCATAGTGAATTGGAGGTCTCAAGCGCTTATGCTTTAAGTATTTTACCCTCGATATCACGAACCTTTGGATATCTCAAAGTTTTTTCTCTGTCCCATTGAGTTTGAGATAACGAGTTTTGACTGTATATTCATAAACTTTAAATCTATACTTTATTAATTTTTTCAGATACTCAGAACACTGTATGGATGGGATTTTTCTCAAGGATCTGTTCTTAAGTTACAGTCAGTCTATGAAAATTATCAGTCTTTCTGAAACACAGTAATGGCCTACATCATTTCTTACCTTCAGGTTCGACCTCGGTCTCTTTCTCGGAGTCTGAATCTGACTCCTTGTCAACCCCGGCAACAGCTTCTGCCATCATTAGGAGCTCAGCCTCAAGGGGATCACTGGGAATTTTCTCACGTATTTCCTGAATGGGACAAAAAAATATATAGAAATTTAATGTAAAATTCAAATCAAGACAAAATTGTTCAAATTCTTGAACTTCCAAGCATACTTTTCTTTCAAATAGATTTGTTTGGCCATTACATTAAATTCCTTCAGTTACCTTGATCTGCTTAAGGATTCCATCTGCGGACTTTCTGGTGGTGGGGATAAAACATGGCACTGGTATAGGGACAGGAAGTGGGAACGGAACAGGTGTTGGCTGGGTGTACATCGTCATGGGAACCGGTACATAAAATGGTATAGGGACAGGAAGGATTACCTTGTCTGGTTCTGACTTTTCTGAAATTAAGAGTTCACTAAGTCTGGTGATATTACAATGTAATACTTCCTACCAACTATAAACGAAGCACAAAATCAAAAATTAATCCAATTCCATTAGGATTACAATACATTTTCTTTTATCTACCAATCAATGAAAAACATTACTTGTCTGAATAAAGCAACACAATGCCTAAATCTGTAAACTGATGATGGATTAGGCCAAAAAAAAAAATCTTTTTGTTTCAGAGGTCTAAATTAACACAACATGCAGGCAGTTTTTACATGTATGTGCATTGATCCATGCTACAGAGTTTAATCAATGTTGTAGTTTATGACATAATGCAGCAGTGCCTAAGAAACTAAACACTTTTTTTTGGCCTTACAGCAATGTCCTTTTATGAGAAAAGTACCTGTTTGAATCCCTATGGTATGGGTGTGGGGCCTACAAGACGTAGCCTTGGTCTGTAGAAATGGTTTACACATTAGAGATTTGTTCTTCTGAGTTTTAGGCCAGGGAGGCTGGATAACTATCTGCTGTTGAACCTGAATCTGAGTTGTCTGAAAAATCATAAAATATCTACCAATTGAACAAGTTATAAAATATCTACCAATTTAACAAGTCATAAAATATCTACCAATTTAATGTCATAAATATCTACCAATTTAACAAGTCATAAAATATCTACCAATTTAACAAGTCATAAAATATCTACCAATTTAACATCATAAAATATCTACCAATTCAACAAATCATAAAATATCTACCAATTTAATGTCATAAATATCTACCAATTTAACAAGTCATAAAATATCTACCAATTTAACAAGTCATAAAATATCTACCAATTCAACATCATAAAATATCTACCAATTCAACAAATCATTAGGGGTGAAACGATACACCTCCTTCACGGTTCGATACGTATTGTATAATATTGTCTCGGTTCGGTTATTTTCGATACGATACATTTTGATAGAAGGAAACAAATTCAACGTTGTTTTATGCTTTCTTTTTCTAAATCTAGTCACATATTTTACGAATTTTATTTGCAAATTGACTAGAAGAAATTAATTAAAATTATTTGACTGTCAAAAATAATTTTACAAGCTATCAGTCATCAAAAATTTACATTTTCTATACTTATTTATACTGAGTAACGTGTTTTTCCTTATGCCACACTTGACTGAATAACAATCCCGACCGAAAAAAATGAACCGAACCGAAAATTAGAGATTTTGCACCGTGTATCAAACCGAGAAAAAATACCGCAGTGAATCGATACCGCGGTGAACCGTTTCACCCCTACAAATCATAAAATATCTACCAATTTAATGTCATAAATATCTACCAATTTAACAAGTCGTAAAATATTTGCCAATTTAACAAGTCATAAAATATCTGCCAATTTAACAAGTCATAAAATGTCTACCAATTTAACAAGTCATAAAATGTCTGCAAATTTAACAAGTCATAAAATATCTGCCAAATTAACAAGTCATAAAATATCTGCCAATTTAACAAGTCATAAAATATCCACTAATTTAGTCAGTATATTTGTTTATATAAAAATATCTTTAATAGTTTCTTTGAAACTGAGCTTAATGCAAAAATAGTAAGGTCAATGTCATAGGGAAGGTCAGTGTCAATTTTCTTAAGTGCAGCTGAATAGCTCCAACCACTATGTATCAGAATATAAAGTTTGATAAAAATTTCTTGATTATTTCTGAAACTTAGTGAAATGCTAAGTGTGATGGACAAACAGATTGAAGGACTGAAGACAGACATGACAAACACTGTATGCCCCTGCCATATTCAATGAAAATGCCTAGAATTCATTCAAATTCAAATAAATTCTTATCAATGACCATTACTACATTAATTTTGCTACCTTTGTCTGTGGCTGGTTTGATGCTGGAACACTGGTGACAGACTTTAATCCACTTTGCTGATTTCCTATAAAATATCTAATTTTTATATTACAATGTTATTTTTCAATTTCCAAAGAAAAGTTGTTTCAACTACCCTTGCTTATTACACAGTTTTCTAAATCATATTTTTTAAGAGGGGCAAACATAGTTAAATCTGTACACATGTATAATAAAATATATGAAGCGTAGTTTAGATTTTTTTTAAAGACAGTTTTACCTTTAGGAGCTAGTGACACAACATTGGATATGACAGGATTGGCTCCAGGGCCCATCCTCTGAGATAACTGCTTTGAAGCTGGGGGTTGTTTGGAAGGTGGGGCTGAAATTACAAATTATAGATATCTCACTATTATGAGCAAGCAAGCACATCTCATTTTTTCTGTTTATTATGTTAACTATTTTTTTAAGGCCCATAGACCGTTTTTTACCTCTGGTCGCATTTCTTGTCACAGGTGCAGATTGTTGTGGTGTTTTCTGTTGTTGCTGAAGGGATGCTTTTTGTTGCTGTGGTGGCTTATGTTGCTGTGGTGGCTTTTGTTGCTGCACTGCAGCTTTTTGCTGCTGATGATGCTGGTTTGCAGTAGGGGCTGTTTGTTTTCCTCCTGCTGCAGCAAACTGCGACTGAAAAGCCATCACACACTGATACGAACAGAAGTTCCTCACAGATGCATCACTCATAGTCAAATGATACTGAGCAGGGACAAACTTTCGACAGTGGTCACACACCACTGCCTGGTTAGAGGTCGCCTGAAGATTAACACGATACAGGGACAAACAGTTTAAAGAACAAAACAGCTGATACTTGTTATGGGCATCTACCCTTTCAATCATGTCAAAGTTACTTTTCTTGGAGTTACACCAAGCACAAGCCACTACTTTCTTCTTTTCCGATTTGAATTTGTTGACACACACATAACTACAGAATCGTTTTTGCTGCCCTTCAAACTGGATGAACTGTGGAGCTCCATCGCCATAGCAGTAAGTACCACAGTTATCACACGAGTTCATGGTCAATTTATTGGCGTACTGGAAAGCAGAAAAGCATGGATCGCTACAAAGGCGGTGAACTTTACCTTCTAATCGAATTTCATGCTTCACAGTCGAATGTTTTTTACACACTGAACAAGGAAATTCTCCCTTTGGTAAAACTTTGGACTTCTGTGCTTTCTCCACCCCCACTATTTCTACATCACAGTTAGTTTTATCCTCGTACTTCTGTAAACACAACTGACTACAAAAATCCTTAAATGTCCCCTCTTTTCCAACTGGTGCTACAAAAGCATCGGTGGATTTGGAGATGTCTTTTTGACAACACTCACAAAGCTTCTGTCGTTTCTTAAATTCCACATAACAGTTGTTGGAACAGAATTGTTTAACTTCATTGGCAAACCTAAGACAGTATTTTCCTTTAGCAGAGGCTGTCACCATGTTTCCACAGTTTGTACATGAGGCGTTGAGGGAGCCCTGGAATTTTCCCAGACAATCTTCACCACAGAAGTCCATCCCCTGCCAGTTAAGGAATGGTTTGGAGGTTTTAATGTTCATGAGTTGACATACTGAGCAGGTTTTGAACTGTTCCTGGTTGGAGTGAGAGTTGGTTGGGTGGGCATTATTTGGTTCGGAGTGATTTTCAGCTGGTGCTTTGGGGGTTCCTCTGAGGTAACTGGTAGGATTGGCCCGGAATTTTTGGAAACATACATCGTCACACAAGTGTTTCACATCACCATTACGTACTATATTGTACTTACACTTCCCAATCTAAAAATGAATAAAATGTTTACAATAAACCATCAATAAAAAGAAATCAAACTGATTGCAAAATGAACCATTATTTACCAAGGTGAAGTATTCCCATACTAATATTTCCACAGTTTATGTTATTTACTGAGAAATCATTTTAATTCATGGGTCAAGTCTGTGGACTACTAAAATTTTACTCATTCATCGGGATGTAATTTCTACTAACCTATGGAAAACTCAGATGCAATGATTCAATGCACCGATATGTTGACAAAGTTATTGTTCAAGGGAATATAAAGTGGTGGGTAAATAAGAGTACAGGTCCAGAGAGGGACACAAGATAGACCAACATGAAAGTCTCTGGTGACGACCTTATGTGCTGACCAGCACAAAGAGGACTAAGTACTGTAGATCACTAAATTATCGCGACACCTTATTTTCGCAAGATATGTATTTGGTATTTATAAGCAAGATAAAGTTTTCACGAATTCTGGGTATGGCTGTGTATAATCTATACTAACAAAAATTAATGCAAGAATGAAAGTAAAGTTCTTGAATAAAACATGATTTACAGTAAGTAGTACCTAAGTAAAAGCCATGAAATTCACAAACATTGGTCCCCCCAGAATAATGATGATTACACGGTATGCTCACCCTGCTGCAGACGATACATGTCTGGACTTTACTGGCCACTTTGGTAGGAGAGGATTTCTTGTTCTCCTGCTTTATGTCTGGTTTTGAGGGAACTGACTGTCTGGGAGCCTCAGTCTGTAATTAGTAATTAAAACATGATCAGAAAATTAACTCTTTATTGCAAAATGAATTACACCACCCTTTATCCCAAAGTTTTGAAATAATAGAAAATGAGACATAGCTCAAAATGAATGTACCACAAAAGAAGTATTATGTGAAAAAAAAAAACAATAACGTTCATATTACTTATAATCTTCAAGTAAATTTAAATGATAATCAAACATTATTCCTCTTTACACAAAATGATTTTAAAATATCTCACTTTTTGCTGATCTTTTTTCTCCTTGTTGACAATGTCTGGGATGTCTGTTCCCCCACTGACTGATGAAATCTGTAAACCTGTGCCTCCACTCTGAGCTGATGCAGATGTCTGCTTTTTTGCTACATGGATATTAAATTACATTAGTATGCCAAACTTATTATTCAGTATTCTTATTTAAAACATAATAAACTCTCTAAGATTTTATATGTGACATCACTAAAAAATATGGTCAACGCAATTAGATTTACAGCTAGGAAGAGTAACTTTACTGCAATACCAAGAACCCACATTTAAAGATAATTTTTAAAAAAAGGCGGTCTTACTGGCTGGACTGACTCCCACAATGGCGATGTCATCAGAATCATCAGAACTCTCTTTCTTCTTCTCTTCTTTCTTTGGTTCTTTTTCAGACACAGTGAAAAAAAAAGTCTTATTTAAGTGTCCATAGTTTTAGCACTTACCAAGAAAATATTCTTTGTTTACCATGGGTATGAGATATTTTCATAAGACATGCTTTATATATTCTTTTGAACCCCTAAGATTTCTAAAAGTCCATGCAATGTCAATTTCTATATGACTTGAAACCACACACTTACCACTTGTGTCCTCTTTGTCATCGATCATGACAACATCTGTATCAGATTTCTCTCCCTTGTTTTCAATGCTGTCGTCAGTGGTCCCTGTCACTGTGTCTTCTTTTGCTTTACTTATTTCTTCAGACTTGGCTTCAGAGCCTTCTGTAGCCTCAGATGTCACCTCAGTGCCTTTTGTAGTGTCAGCTGTCACCTCAGTGCCTTTTGTAGCCTCAGCTGTCACCTCAGTGCCTTCTGTAGCCTCAGCTGTCACCTCAGTGCCTTTTGTAGCCTCAGATGTTCCAATCTCTTGTTCTCCTATTCCTTCTGATTTCACAGATTCAGCAGTTTCTGGTAAATCAACCTCTGGTTGCATTTCTGTTGTTTCTCTTTCAATCTGGTTGGGTTTTTCCTCTTCAACAGAATCTGGAGTACTTTCTTGTTGCTCAGTTTTTATCACTTTGGGAGTGTTCTCATCAGCTGATTTCTCTACAGCACCTGCCAACTCTGTGGTATCCACACCAATTAAGATCTCAGATGGTTCTAAAGGAGTATTTTCCATTGTATCCATTCCCGCTAACACCTGGGATGGTTCCACAGGTTCAGTGCTGCTTACAACCTCCTCCTGAGAATTCTCTCCTGATTTCTCTGTCTCCTGTTGGACTTCTTCACCTTCTACTGTCTTCTCCTCCTGTTCTGATGTAATCTCCTCCTTCAGCAAACTTTCCTCATCCATCTCCTCCATCTTCTGATTAACCTCCTCCTCCTCCTCCTTTAGAAGACTTTCCTCATTCTCTGTGATCTCCATGCTCTCATCGTTTGTCTCAATTCCAGCGTTTCGCTCCGCAACACATTCAGTATTGGAGTTAGACAGAATTGCATCGTCAGAGTGTTCAGTCTCCATGGCTTCTATTGCACTTTCATCTGTTATGTCACCATGCAATGTGCCAACAGAGGTTATTGTTAATTCTCCTAAGCCACCGTCTTGAGAGCCGACATCACTAACCTGTTCAGTTGAATTTTGGACTTCTGGTTCCATCACTGTATCTTGAAGTTCCACTTCAGAGTGCTCATTTTCTATGCTGCCTTGAAGAGTTGGAGACAGAGAACCAGGGGTTTCTGTTTCCTGTGCCAGGCCACTCGGCAACTGTTCTGCACTTTCATTATCTGTGTTAGATTGATCATACGCCTCTGAGAAACTTTCCTGAACTTTTTCTGAAGACATGGCAACCACTTCCTGTGCCTCATCCTGAGATTCTGTGTTCAGTTCCTGCTTATTCTCTTCAATATCCTTGGATGCCTGATCTTCTGTTGATTCCAGAAGTTCAGCAGATGGAACCTCACTTTGGACACAGTTCACGTTTTCTTCAGGAGTCTGTGCACCATCATCAGGATTCTGACTCGGCACCTCCTCTGTGGAGGGAGAGGGGTCCTCCTCATCCAAAGGAGTCTCGGCATGGGATACAACATTTGTTACAATCAAATTCATTTCAGGTGATGTAGGTTCTTCTGGTATTAATGCAGCATCTTCTGTGAAATAATTCACACGTTAATACACAAGTAGAGTTATATATACAGTGAACTATATTTATCACGTTTAATTCTTTGTACAGTGGATATCATTTTCATATCCACGGTTGTGAAGACACAATGGTCTCTGCATCAATTTGATCAAGTCAAATATTGTGGATTTATATATATAAAACAGTGTAAAAACATGTGATAGCTATGTGTAAAATGTGATAAAAAAAAAAATATCCCATGGTTTGTGGTTAGATATGATTTTTTATTCGAGTTGTGTGTTTTTATCCCCTCACCAAGGCTCGGGGATAAAAACACACAACTTGTTGGATAAAAGATCATATCCAACCACAAACCATTGGAGATCCTATATATATTATATAAAAAGAAATTACTTTGCTTAACTTGTTGATAAATTCAAATCCTTACAACTGCTATTGCAGCATAACTATTAATGCCATAGAATTTGCAAGATTTTGAAATGAGTGTCCATGGGTCACAAAGCTAACCTGAGTATCCTTGTTGTAATTCAGAAATGAGCCTCATTAATTTAACATTGCATCTGTTATTAAGTTCCACATTACATTGATTGTCATGATTACATTATAAAACTAAAATGCAAACTTCAGAATGCTTGCATATATTCATTTACTTTGTCACAAGAAATCATTACACGTTACAATTTCTTGTAATTTCCTTTAATGTTTGACAACACTTTTGAGGATTTCCAGGGTTAGACACTAACTTTTTTACCTTGGTGGACCACAGGTCCACTAGTCAAAAATTATTGGTGGACCTTCTTAAATTCTGGTGGACCTTCATAAACGTTTGAATTAATGAATGAATTCATTACACAAGGCTTGAAACTAACTTATGTACCCAGTCCAGTCAGACTAATAAAGTATAAGTTAACCAGTCAACAGAATCAAATCAATTAGTCAGGAGTTTTCAGCAATATTGTTAAACATATTTTCAATAATTAAAAAAAGAACACAATCTATATCTTCAAACAATGGTAAAAATCTGCATTTATTTCGCTTCCAACGGTAGATAAAAGTTAAATCCTAATTGTTCATATAAACAAGTGAATATAAACAAGTGAATTTTTCATGTATCTATGGCTAAATTTTTTTTTACCACGATGCAAAACAAAAGTATATGTATTTATTTATTATTTATATGTATTTATTTATTATCATTTTTAATTATTATTCATTCAAATAAACTGCGATCATATGATTCTTTTATGTGATATTATGTATAGCAGGAAAAAAAAACAGGAACTGCAGATAAATGTAATGTATTCATAAAATATAAATCACGACTGTTTGAAGATCTAAAAAATAAACAATGCACAAATGCAGCTGTCAATCAATTCTAACCATCTCCAAACCTGGCCATCAGTGTGCATTCAGGCGTGAAGTGATTTCCTGTTACCCAGTGTACATTTTCACACCTTTCTGTGCATTAAACAAACAAAGGACAGACTGACTAATTTGGCACGAATTTTACATGCTTCTTTTTCAAGGTCCGTGTTGAATGTTCTTGCGTCTCAATGTTATTGTTATTGTAGTCATCAATATTATATGTAAAATATATAATTAGTCGCTAGGTTACCCTGATTAAAACAAATATTACCATATTTATTTCTTGTAACAAGTATGGATGAAGTAATCATTTGATTTACGGATGTTGATTTTTAGGGGAAAAAAAGGAATTTTACCGTGTTTTTTTTAATACAGTGTTTAAATTTTAAGTGGACCGACGGTCCACCTAGTCCAGAACATTTGGTGGACCTTCCAATTTTTTGGTGGACTTGGGCCGCCGGTCCACCGTTAGTGTCGAACCCTGATTTCAAGATGTCTACATGCATCCTTTTGTTGATTTGTACTTTAAAAAAATGTCATAAATACTTGTAAACATACAAATGCTTGTGCTAATTGCCACTTGATCATGTGAAAAAAATTGGGTAGTTTGTGATAAAATGATTTTAATTTATAATTTGATATCGTAAACACTTTCTCAAATTGACTATTGCATATATACTGAACAATTTAATTACATGTAAAATTTTATTTAATTATCATATTAAAAGCAAGCATTCAAAATAACAAAAAACAGACGTAATTATGTGTGTGTAATTATCAATTCAGCTGTTATGTGTGTAACAAATATATACTCATGCCAGACTCAAAGATATGTAAATAAAACCAAAAAAATGGCCGCTAAAAACAGGTGCTTTCAACAAAACAGACTTAAAATCACTGACCACAGGCTGCATTAGTTAGGTGGCAGATTGAAAGAGTTAAAATATTGTGAAAAAAATGATTGGGCTGGATTAAAAACTGGCCCCTCATCAGGAGTAGCCACTAGTTTCAGGTGGCCATAATGGTAGATGCGACTCTATATAATTCTGCAATATATACCTTTATCTGGTGTAAATGGTGTTTTCACTGACGGGAGATCTATGCCATCTAGCACATCTTGTCCTTCAGAACTTCCACTGGACTCAATTCCATTAACTTCACTCATCACCTACCAAGCAAGAAAAGTGAATTTTACTGATATAACCCTTCAAAGAATGTGTAAGGCACACCAATCTTTTTTCTATAAAAAAACTGAAAAAAAAATTCTGAATGTTCTTTATACACAGTAAATGAATTATCATATGCATATAAAGTTCTCATTATGGGAGGAAAAAAACTCTTTTTTCTCTTTTCTTTCCTTTATTTATCTTTTTTTTTTGGGGGGGGGGGGTATATTTATCTTCCTTTTTTTTTGGAAAATGTATAAAAAGTATATATAATTATTTTCCCAATATCTGTTGTTTTTTTAAATAAAAAACGAAAGTGTTATATTTCCTTTTCTTTTTCTAATTTTTTTAAATGTCAACACAAATTTCTTTCCCATTTTCCTTAAAAAAAAAAAAAAAAAAAAAAAAAAAAAAAATTTAAAAAAAAAAACCTTATACATATAGATTATAAAGATTGTTTCCCTTTAATAAGACCCAGACAAGTACTTATCACTTTAGTACATGTTTTCACTTGAACAAATATCCGTCTCTTTAAACAGCCAACTGAAAAGTTATCACATTAATCAAATTATTTCTATCTTTTAAGAATTATTTATTAACCGCCAAAAAATAATAATCAATGGTAAAAATATATATAGATAGTAAGAGTTGTGCCCCTTTTTGCAGCATGCTTTCTTGAAATAACTCGAAGATGCTGCATCTAAACCTTAAAATACATGCAAAAAATATATACAAGTAATGAATTCTCACTGCTTCTGATGCATCGCTTGTGTCCTCTTTCCCGGTAACATTTTGTTCGATGTTCAAATTCACGGCGTCTTCGACCTCGTTCGATTCGAGTTCGGACATTTTTGGCTGCTTCACTCCAAAGAGCAATTGCTTGTATACTTAAAATATTCCAGAATATAACAACGGGATTAATTTCACCTGAAATCTGATTTTTACATGCAATCAAAAGCATTTAATGATTAGATTCTTTCTTTTCCTTCGTGAACCAAGTCCTACAACCGCATTGTTTTGATAAATATGGCGGCCAGAGCCTCGTTTCCATTTCAAGTTGGACAAGTGCGACTTGCATGATAACATTGGACTCGAAGTTCTTTTTATACCTATCACGAACTAGCAGACAGTCAAAACGACCACAAGATAACTTCAGGCAGTATTTATTTACAAGTTCAGCATTTCCCCTTGAAATTAAATCCTAACAGTATCACATCATAGTAATCACAGTTTATAGTGAATCAATAAATGATATTGAAATAAATAATATATTTAAATTGATCAAGTGTACTTTGCAAGTTAGCAGAATTTTAATTAAGAAAATGGCAACTGTAAAAACTTTTGTGTTAATTAAGGGATCAACAGTATAAATTTGAGAATTGGCATGGGCTGATAAGTCCACTTTATCTTTGCACTGTTCCTTTCATTGTATTTTATTTCTTCCCTAGTGAACAGACTGGTGAAGCGATGGGTATTACTGTTGAAAATCATATAAAATCAGACTATGTGAAAGACTGAAAGAAAAAACAACAATATAAATAAACAAATTTAGATAGATAGATAGATAAATAAATAAATAAATAAATAAATAAATAAATAAATAAATAAATAAATAAATAAATAAATAAATAAATAAATAAATAAATAAATAAATAAATAAATAAATAAATAAATAAATAAATAAATAAATAAATAAATATAGATAAAGTTTATAATATTCTTACTACCGGTATATCATAAAAAAAAAAGGGGGGGGTGTCTTATTTTTAGCTATTCCCGCTCTCAAAGTTTTCGTTCAACCCCTCCCACCCCATCCCTATTTCATTAAACCTGATTGGGTTTTGTCAGGATTTTATGGTTTAAATCACAGTCTCTTAGTAGAACTTTTTTTTTACCGTAGAGTCATATTATTTAGCTACTTGAAGAGGTTTGACCTGCAAATGCTTCTGTAGATAGTATATTGCATTTTAATAAATTATCTTATAACATCATATATCTTCAAACAATTGTTCGTGCCTAATCATACGCAAAGGAAAAAATAGAGAAAAACATAAGGTACATGGAGAATATTCATCAATACAAACATTCCCTCACTAGATTAAAAATGTAATTATAGGGCCCAGGGATCTAATCCAGTTTTCCGTTTTTATACGATCTGCTACTGTACTTCCGTTTTGAACCGTCTTCTAATGAGCATTACCGACGCCATCTTATCTGACAAAGAGTGGCTGCAAATCAGGGACAAAGTTATCTCTTATTCAGACATGTCTTCGCCAACAAAGCCGCCAATGGAGGCCAAGAAAGAGGACTCAAAAGCAGAGGATAATAAAAATCAAATGCAGGGAAACAAAAATAATCCAGAACAGCAGGGAAAACCACAAGACAACCGTGGAGGAAACCAACGCGGTGGTCGTGGAGGATATCGCGGCGGTGGTAGGGGTGGTGGCCCAGGCGACAGGAATCAAAGAGGTGGTAGAGGGGGTGGTGGAAATAGAGGCCGCGGGGGAATGAATCGTGGTGGTAGTGGGGGAGGAGGTGGTGATAGACGAGGAAATCAGGGTCAGTTTGAATTTGGCCAAGGTGGTTTTAAGCAAAATGAACCACAAATGAATGTCATGGCTCAAGATACTGGCCCCAAAGAGCCCAAAAAGTTCACAGGCAGATGTCGATTGTTTGTTGGCAATGTTACATCAGAGACATCTGAGGAAGAGTTCAAAGAGCTGTTTTCCAAATATGGTGAAACTGGAGAGATGTTTTTGAATGGGGCCAAAGGTTTTGGATTTATACGTTTGGTAAGACAAAAATGATAAACAAAATGAGTATCCAGGATGCAGAAAAAAAAAGCACTCATCCACTTGTCATGGAAGAGTAAAAATCTACCAAGGACAAGTGGGTGTCATAATCTGCTTGCCTCTCGTCATGCTGATGTCAGGTGACAAGTAAAATTTTTGATATGGTACTAGACCAGTGTTTTTTTTTTCAGTACTTTGGGACTGGGGGCCGGGGCCCTCAAAATTTGGAATTTCAGCGTCAATTAGGCTAAATTGGAAATCTCCCAGAAAACCCAGTCACTTAAAAAGCATTGTCAAAAAGCTTTGTTTTTGTCTTTGTATTACTTTAACACACAATTGTTATAACAAATCAAGACTATTCATGGTATGAATTATCTAATTACTTGATCAAGAACAATATTGATATGAATAATCTAATTATGAAGAAATCAAACATGGCTGAACAACAAAACCTGCTTGAACTTCACTGAAAAACATGCAATAAACTGAATTCGATAACATATTTTGTAAGTTTTTCTTTGGGAAAACTTCCACTATGGGAAAATACAGGCATATTTTCAATTGGGACTGGGGCCAAATTTCGGCCCCAAATCGGCTATAAAAAAATCACTGTAGACAACTTCATTCCTAAGAGTTATCTCTCTGTTGGCGTAACGATCTTTTTTCTCACTATATCCTTTGTAACTTACCAGTAAATATTTTAAACCATCAAACGCTTTCAGGCAATTTTGTTTTTTTTTTTCACCTGCTGAGTTCGTAATAAAATGCCAAGTCTTTGATTAAACATCGGTAAAATGTAGTGTATATTTTTCTTTTTTTCTCTTTCCGTACATTTATTTATGTTTGGGTTATATTTATAGGATATTGAGTGTTAATAATTATTCTTTGTATCTTTGATATAGGACTACAGACATAATGCAGAGGCAGCAAAGGCAGCATTAGATGGAAGTCAGCATAAGGGAAGAACACTAAGAGTAAGATTCTCTAACCAGGGTTCAGCCATCAAAGTCAAGAATCTCTCTCCATTTGTTTCTAATGAGCTTCTTGAGATGGCCATGCAGCAGTTTGGGGAAATAGAACGAGCAGTAGTTGTAGTTGATGACAGAGGAAGGTCTACTGGTGAGGGAATCGTAGAATTTGCAAGGAAGCCAGGTGCTCAGCAGGCTTTGAAACGCATAAATGATGGAGTGTTCCTATTGACCTCGTAAGTTTTGTAAATGCACAAGAGTATATTTATACCCCCAGTTTAAAAAGTGGGGGTTATATAGTGATGGGGTGTCTGTCTGTACAACTTCCATCCATCTATACTATAACATCCTCATGTCCGTAACACTTGGTGGTATCCATCTCTAATCGGCAACTCCTCCAATGCCACCAAATAAAATTTAATGAAACACACACAGAATCTTCATTACATAGTCCCATTGTGCACCTCTTTCCAAACAGAATCTTCATCCTTGTGTCCCTCCTATTTTACATTTTAATCAAACAGATATTTGGGGTCTACCACAGCAAAACATGGACACAGGCATTCTTTCTATAACATTGGGGGGTACCCATCTCTTATCTGAAACTCCTCCTATACCACTAAGTAAAATTTAATGAGATGTTCATATATTCTTTATTAAATAGTGCCATTTTGCACTTATTTTACTTTCTGATCAGACATTTACATGTATTTGTGGTTTTCTGTAGCAAAAAAAAATGGACTTTGCCATTATACTGACTCATATGGGAGTATGGGGTATCATTTTGTGAGCTCATTGCTCACAGTACCTCTAGTTAATGTTTGAAAGACGGCATATTCATACTGATTGAAAAAAATCAGTGATTTTATTAATGTATTTATAAACTTTTATTGAAAAGGTAAAGTTTAAACAAATGTGTATTCTTGTTTAAACTTATTGCATATATATTATCTAATTAGGTCCCCACGACCCATTTCTGCTGAAAACTTGGAGGCCAAAGATGAGGAAGATGGACTCTCTGAGAGATTCATGCCAAAAAATCAACAGTACCAAGCAGAAAGAGAGAAGGAACCCAGATTTGCACCCCCAGGATCATTTGAATACAGATTTGGTCTAAAGTACAGAGAGATTGATGAGATGGAAAAACAACAGATAGAGAGAGTAAAGCAGGAAATGGACCAACAGAGACTGAAATTGGAGAATGAAATGGAAGGAGCCATGTTTGACTTCCAGGCCGAGCAAATTAGAGCAGGTAATGCACAAAACTTGAACAGGATATATATTGCTCTTAAAAAACTTTGTATATTTAAATTCTTGAAGAGTATTTGCTATTTTCACTAATTTATTGAAATAATGAAGAAGACCCACAAGATTTTGGTATACATTGTTTGTTGATAGATTTACTGAGACAGCAGGAAGAACTTCGTCGCTTAGAGGAAATGAAAACGGAGAAAATGAGGCGCAGACAGGAATTTGACTACAGGTGAGTTTTCTGCATATATTGTTTGTGTTGTTTCGTAATTCAGTTTTTAGAAGATATTAAGTTTTCATTTAACTTTGAAGTGATAAGATTAAATGGAAGATGTTTAACTTTAATTCTTTTATATGTGATGATTGGAAATTCTAGGGGTTGAATGTAAAATATTGCAACATTTTTCTGGATGCTGATTTATTAGTACCATAAAAATGAAACATTCCTATCTAAAATTTCCACTTTGTCATGTTGTTAAATTTTTAGTTTAATTGGTTTGAAATATTGAATCCTGCTGTAGGTTTGAAGAAGAGCAGAGGCTGATGATGGATGATGACAGACAACAGATGATAAGAGGAGGGCGACCAGGCATGGACCAGGTCAGTTGGTTTTCAGACTCTTTACTCTGGCAGATTTTGCAGTGTGGAGGATCATCCATGGACTTGATATTAGGGTCATTAGCTATTAAGGGTGGGAAGAAGAGGTTTTATAAATCTCAGATTTTGGTAATCAGGGTCGCGTGTGGTGGAAAACTCTACTATAGGCTCAGAATTTTGAGTAAAAACTTGGAATTCTTCATGTCAGTTGTGTTTCTGTGTGTAGGGTTGTCCCTAAGCCCCAGGGACCGGGGAATTTCCCTACCTATTATGACATAATACCCCGGTTATTCTGGTATTCCCCATCAACCTGCACTTTGGAGAGCAACCCCAGATCACCTTCTAGTTCAAATCTTTGGGACAACCCTGTGTTTGTATTAAAGATTATTAGATTTAAGAAAAATCATAAATGGATTCAAATGGTCATGGCATAAATTAAAACCATACAACATAAAGTTTACATTGCAACTGATGCATACGAAATAAGTTCTTAATGATTTATTTTGTTTCACATAATGTTTTAAAGAAAAGTATACAAATACAGTTAAGCTTATTTTGATGTGATATCTTGTAGCCTGGTGGAAGCATGCTGAGAGGTGAAAGCCAAAGAGCGGGAGGAGGCACACCTCTCCCTCCCCCTCCTGCTCCCCCGGCAGGGATGGGTTTTGACACAGCTGACCAGGTAAGTCTTCTGTTTTATACTGAAAACTTCACCACACTGAGCTAATACATAATGAAGGTGGTGTTGGCAGAGGACTGAGCTGTGAGGTTTGTATATTTGATATAGAAGATCAACCTAGCCCAGGAGAGAAAATTTCTTGATTACATCTTACTAAATTCTTTTTCAGTAGCAATGTGTCTGGCTACACAGGATGCAAAAAAATCACTTTTTCGTGTCATCAACTGACAAATTTTAAATGTATTAAATTACTGTATCAAGACACATTTTGTAAATTTCCTAGAAATATCATTAGCAAGAGAGGTGGATCTCCTGAAAAACTCAACATTATAACAAACGACACAAGTGACTTCAGTCAAATTTTTGTATGTAAAAACAGAAAAGAGAAACCAGAAATATGACAATGAGAAGCATAATCCATTTATAAGTTTTGATGCATTGTTCCTGGGATATTATCATCAAATTATGGATGAAGGAACAAATAAACATACGTGTGTTGCAAAATGGCCAGTCAAATTAATGCCGGACTGAAGACTGCTTAAAAATGCAAAAGAATGTAAAGAAAGATGTTTTTGATAGAGTATAGTCAGGTTATGAAAATGAAACTATTTTTGAAGCACATTGACTGTCAAGATGAGGACCTGTATGGGCATCATTATAATTTATGATACCAGGATCGGTCTTCAAACATCTTATTAAATGCTATGATGGGCTTGATCAACAGTTAAACAGGTTTTAGGGCTTATATTTTACAGAAATCTTTGGAAGCACATTCGAAAATATTCTATCATTTAAACACTGCGCGAAGGCATTTAAGCAGTGAATAGTTTTAAATCAAACTGAATGTCTGAATCCACAGTGGGGGAAAAATTGTTGACAATGTGTGTCATTTCATGGGATGGCATAGAAAATAAATTTACAAAACATTCAGAGGTGTGCAATTACAAAAATTAGTTACTAGCCTGTCGGGCTAGTGGCAGTAACAAAGTTACTAGCCCGAGGTTGCCAGTCACTAGCCCATTAACTACCGAGAACAATACATGTATAAGTATAACAAAAAGGTTTCCAAAAAACATTTAAGTTGAAATAAATAAAACAAATAATGGTTTGCTCTTTGTTATTGTCAGGTACTTCTCCCTATTTTTATCGACTATAATTGTCACTGAAACAACTGGCGATAGCAACACACAATACATATAGGTTAAAACGAATTAAAGATTATGATTTTATAACAAAGCTAATTCATACATCAATTCAGTCGACGTAGATATAGGTATACTTTCGTATTAGATTTACTAGCCCAGGTGTCAGGCGATGGTAATTGCACACTCCTGAACATTTGAGAAATACTTCATTGAAGGTTAATAAGAAAACATATACTCCTGCTTAAAAAGTGGGGGGGGGGGGGGGGATATAGTGGTGGAAGTGCCCATCCCTATGTCCTTTCGTCCATCCATTCGTTACACTTGGGGGTAGCCATCCCTTATCCACAACTTTCTTACTCCACTGAATTCAATTTATTGAAACTTTCATGAAATCTCTATTACAAAAAGCATTGGGCATATCCTATTTTACTTATTGCTAGGACACAAATTTGGGTTCTCCCAGAGCAAAACATAGACACTGTCATTCTTTCTACAATATTGGGGGTTTCCATCTCTTTATCTGCAACTCTTCCTATACCACTGTATTAAAATTAAGGAGACCTAGTTTTTATTACATAGTGGCTATGTGCACCTCCTATTTTACACTTAGATTGGACAGATGTTTGGGGTTTCCCCATAGCAAAACATAGATATATTCTTTCTATTATATTGGGAGTATGCATCTCTTATCCATAATTCCTCCTACACCACTGAATGCAATTTAGCAAAAAATTTCACAGAATTTATTACATATTACCGTTGTGCATCTATATGTATTTTATGTTTCAATCAGACAGATATTTCGGGATTTTCCCATAGCAAAATATGGACACTGCCATTCTTTGTACAATATTGGGGATACCCAAGTCTTATCCACGACTCCTCCTTTACCATGGAATAAAATTTAAGGAAACTTTCACAGAAACTTACTGCATATTCCTTTGTGCATTAATTTATTTTATATATTGATTGGACAGATATTTGGGATTTACCATAGCAAAATATAGACTTTGCCATTATACTCATATGAGAGTTGGGGTATCACAATATCTATAGTTATTTGTTTTATATTGAGGGGGGGGATAAGACAAAGTACAATATTGTAATTTTTTCTCATTTGTTTTTATTGTTTATTGATTTATTTGTTTTTGTTTTATGGTATGCCATACATTTATTAATGATACATTGTATGTGTATTAATAATATATGAGAAGAGGTTCAGTACAGGGTAAAGTTCAAAACCCCAAATGAAGCACTCAAAAAAAGGAGCATTTCAGAATCAAACTTCAGAAAAACTGAAATGCTGTTAAGAAATGATTAACAAATTTTCAACACACATTTTCAAATGTTTAGATGCAAAATTTAGAAAATCCAGTGATCTAGAAGATGGTAAGAAATTGAATTGTAACTTGAGAGAAATAAAGGTTGTTAAATAAATATTTTACACAGATTTCATATAAGCTTTTGGAAACTTGTAGTTGTAAATGCTGGTTTTACTTAGCACCTTAAGGTATCCGACCCATATTAGAACCTAATTTTCTAACCATAAATATCCATCATGTATTAAATAATCTGATATTAATTCAAAGCTTTTTAGAGTAGAAAAGGATTTACCAAGAGAAATTTTCAAAAATATTATACCTAAGCAGTAAGTAATTAATGAAGATTGCACTGAGGTCTATGGGGACAAGCAAATTTTTGAAAATAAAAATTTAGATATTAAGAATATCAATAAATGCTATAGTGGAAAGATGTATTGAATTATTAGGAATATAAAAAAGATTGAAAACTAATTTTTTAACAAATAGATTTTTTGAGAATTGATTTTTTTATTGATTAAAAGCAAAGGGGGATAACTTTTCATGGACAGGACAAGGTCAAAAATTAGGACACATTCCACTCTTACATATTGATTTGTTTGTTTATGTTGTTTAACGTCCCTCTCGAGAATTTTTCACTCATATGGAGACGCCACCACTTGCTCGGCACTATGGCCATTGAGCAGTGAGGGATCTTTTTCGTGCCAGCACCTACTGTGACAGGGGACTTCGGTTTATACGGTCTCATCCGAAGGACCGGTCTCCACATCCCACAGTGGGATTCAAACCCACGACATAAGGATCAAACTCCTTACTTCGCGACTCTAGAGCAGACGCTCTAACCACTGCGCCACACAGGCAACTCTTACATATTGATACTAAAGCATGAAGATTGTCTAATTATACTGAGTATTCAGCCAATATATATCTTTTATGCATTCAGATTCATTGGATCTGAGGCAATTATGGGTTGGATACCTTAGACATTAAAATATAACAATTTGGCATTTTATCAATTACAAATCAGCATTGAAATATTATAAATCAACCTTGATATCTTAAAAATCAATCATGGTACATGTAACTTACTTATTAAAATTGAACAGAATGTAAAGTAGCATTGAACTGAAATTTTAAAAGAAAAAAAAAAAAAAAAAAAGGGGGGGGGGTTAAATGTTTTGTACTTTTAAAAAAGGTGATCTGCTCTGAAAAGTGTTTTTAAAAAAATCTGATTTGGTGAAAATTTTACTTCAAAAATTAAAATCGTATATTTTATAGCTAGATTTATTTTACATTGGTTAGGGGTTACATCTTGCCATGTTTTACAAGGTTCTCAAAGTAATGTAGTATCATTCTGGTAATATGAGGTTTGATTCAAAAGAGAACATTTAATGAGTTTAAGGGGAACAAATTTTGTCAATACATCTGAAAGAACCTCTCTTTATTGCTAACTTTGAGGATCTTGTTACAATATGATGCTAGGTGATAAACATTGTTATAAATATTTACGTCTTCCTCAATAGATGCCAAGCGGTTCCTTTGGCAAAAAGGGAAGTGATAAGGGAGACAACAAAATGGTAATGTATCTTGTGGTTAATCACAAATAGGGAATGTGATTAATCGCTGTGTTGGGTGGGCTTATTTTTGTGCAAAATATATTTATTCATTTATGATTTATTTAATTATTGTTTATCAAATGTGTGATGGGTTTATTCTCAGTCCAAAACAACATAAGGTAAAATGGCAATAAAAAAAAAAAACCCAGAACAGATGGCCATTCTTCATAAAATATGGTCCATTGAATCATATTGATTTTTTAAAGCCCTGTGTCAAGAAGTGGATGCCTTTTAATAATCACTACATCTGCCTGTCAAAACATCTATGTGATGCAATAAATTGAGTACCTTTCAATCTACAGACTGGTTAGAGTAGATGCAGATTTTGAGGACAAAGGTCAAGGTCAAAGTCAAAATTTTAACACAATCTTAAATTGTATATATATTTTATCCTACAGTCTTCTTCATGCTTAACTACATAGCTTAACAGTTGCTCAAGGGACTTTTTTGGTTTGTGACTTGAAATTACTGGTGTGACCATTGTGATGCAATGTTAGAATTGTAACCTACAAACTTCAAAAGTAGTACAGTACAATTCATTTTTTATCATACCGGTTTTATATCATACTTCTTTTTTTATCATAGATATCTGAAACACAAAACCATTTCTTAATAATTCATTATAAATTTTGTCTGTTATTATCATAGGTAAAAGTATACACTTCGCTTACTATAATAGAAAATGTCTGTCCGTAATATTTTTTTCACACCTTTTCACTCTTGGGACAATCAACAAAACAAAAGATAACACCTATCTACACCTGTGGTTCATGCATTGTCGCTTGTCTATACACAATGGCTCGATTTTCTCTTTGAAATTTGCCGATAGTGAAAGACTGGGGAGATTAGTCACACTTCAGTGCACTTACCTGAGCGATTGACAGGGAGTCTGTTTATTTCATGAAGTACATGACAGGATAACACGAACTCTTTTTTTTCATAACTTATTTTCTTCTTATGTTAATCCTGAATTGTACGTTCGTAATAAATACGTTTTACCAAATGTGTTGAAACTAAATTTAGTGTCAATATTAACCCAAGCTTTCTTACGCTTGGTGTCTGGATCAATGTTCATAGTTAATTACATTTACAAAACTACCCGATTAATTAAAGAAATAATTAAGTGAAATTAACTCTTTCACCAGTCTGTCCAAGCGGCTTTGAATGCATATGCTCATCAGTGTATCAATTAATTTTAATTACGGCGACATTAAGTGTAAATAGGTAATTTTTTTTATGTCTACTTTGGATGAATAAAAGAAACAATTTGAATGCATGCTTTGTTGCTGTGTTAATTTATTTAATATGTGACCAAAAAAAAAAAAAAAAAAAAGCCCGGAACGAAACATTAGTAATTTGAATTGACCATAAATAAAAAATGAAAGTAGATCAAAATAAACAACATGGATGCCAAGGGATCTAGAAGATTGAATTTGAAGCGTATTAAGCTTTATTTAAGTGAATTTATTTATAATAAAAAGTTGAAACAGTAAGTACATATTGTGAAATGATATGTCAATTAACTTGTATTTCAAATAAACCTAAAAAATCGAAATTATATGTAACGTAAGATGTATAATACATCCAATAATTTATACAAACGTCGTATCGTCAGCCGTCCGACATGAATTTCAGCCAACTATGGTTATTGTAAAAGTCGCTTATTATAAAGTTTTGGCCTGACAAATAAACTATGATAATAAACAAATTGTACTGTACATAGGTAGAGAATGGTAAGACAAACAAAATTCTGGAGAATAGGGGGTTATTTGAACCAAGGTCAAAGGTCGAGATAATTGAAATGATCACTATGATGCAGTAACTATGACATTTTCATAATCACAGACTTTCTATATATAATGTAAAGTTTAGAGGAGAGTGATCGAAGGAAAGTATCTGTAGACTATGAGAATACTTCATTAAAGTCAAGGTTGAAGGGTGAACTTTTTTATATGACCAATTTAATGCAATACCTTCAACATTTTATAGCCTATAGACTTCATATAAGTATCTGAAGTGAAGAATATATTTTTAAAGACACTTATTATGTGATACAAATCTGTGAAACAAGTCCGAGAGTATTCCAAAATTCTTATCATTACACAATTCAAAGAAACCCCTATAGATTTAAAGGCCAAATGCTCAAAGGCAAGGTCAAGTTTATCAATCATGTTAATGTAAGTATACCATGAGACCTGTATGACTTTGTCAGTTTTTCTAGTTATTAAACCTTCTTGTAATTTATTTTCTTGATAAGATGCTTAAATTAATCGTAATTTTTATTTTAACTGATGACTTTATCCATGAAAAATATTGAATATACTGAATATTGAAATAGCGAAATCGGCAAAGTTGAATTTTGCTAAACTGGAAAAATCTTTTTCTTATCATGCTTATCTGGAGTAGGCATTGTTTTTCCAATAGGCCATAATAAAAAAAATCTAGATTTTCATCACCATCTACCCTGATTTTTTATAATTCTGTTTTCACAATCAAAATTTGGAAATTTTAGTATTTCTACATCTTGATTCTGTTTGGGAATCAGTATACAACATAACATTCAGCTTTTGTTTCAAGTCTTGCAAATAATGTTACCATGATTTTGACACCTGACGGGTGGTGTTTTCAGTAATATGTATTAAACAAGGATCACTGAATGTGAAGGATTGATGAGGTTGTAAAATAAGAGATATGTACATTTAAATGGAACTTGACAATGACTTATTCTGGTATAAAAGATAACTGCACCAAATGACAAGGTCAACCAAAAATATCAAATAAAAGATAAAATCCACCCACCCACCACAATTTTTCCAAACAAAAAATGGATCAGAAACTAGGATTTTTTTTTATTATGGTCTTATTGACAGTAAAATGCATTTTGAAATTATGAAATACCAAAAAACAAAAAGAGCACTGTCTTACATTTCACAGAGTATTTACTCCATAACCTTATAAACAATATGAAAAATATTTAAAGTGAAAGGGATGAAAATCCGTCTTCAAGAGTTTTGTCTTAACAAGACTAGAATGTTCAGGTGATTTTAAGGTGTATATGTGCCTAAGCACCTAAAAAAAATTTCTGCATGTTCAAACAAAATTGTATCAGTGATTCAGTTCATGTACTATAATATGACAACAAGAAATTCTTCAGTATTTGTACCATTAACCTTTGGTTTGATGACCTCTGAACCAAAGACCCAAGCTTTCTACAAAGAATTTTTCATATTATCCCAAAAGTTACTACAGAACATTTTGCCTCATGTCATGGTAAAATTGTTCCAAGCTACAAGTGACCATCATCAGTAGCTGGAATGAGAATAAAATAAAATACTAAAAAGACAGGCACTGGCAAGAAATTCCCAGATTTTTGCCATTAATTGTCTTAAATGCCTGTATTATATGGGCAGTACTATCAAGGAAATGTTAATGTTAATCATTGCAAAACAGTATGTAGCAAGTTATGTCTATTCATTCAATTTGTCATGCAGTAAAAGAACAAACTTTGATGCAACACAAAATTTATAATTCCATAGTAGAAGCAAAACTGCCCATTTCTGCTTACCCCCCGTTCACACAGAGCTGCGACTTTACGACGATCATCCCGATCAAGCCACGATCTGAAAAAGTTTTGGATCGGGGCGGATCGGAGCCGATCGGCGTCTAAATCGAGCAATTTGGCAAATTATGGTCTTCATTACGACCGTACTACGATGCCCCTACGTCAAACACGCTGCTAACACGCTTCTACTACAATGTTACGCAGACCGTTGCCGACCAGCGGTCGCGTTTACTGCGTTTACGCTACGCTGCCGCTACGACATTCAAGATCATACTACGACGCTACGCAGACCTAGATGACTGTACGACGATATCGCTACGGTGGTGCCGATTTTATTACGATTGTATTACGCTTCTAGTACGATTTTGGCGATGATGTATATATATCTTGGGTTTGAAACATATTTTTCACTTCTGTCCAAACTTTACCACGGGGTTTACGGGGCATTTTAATTGTAACTGTAACAAGATGTGAAAAGTTCGAAGTCTCAGCTGCAAATGATCGTCAAGTATAGTGTAACCCTTTACATGTAGTTGACAGATGATGCTTGGACAAATATCAGCGCTATAAAAACAAACTGCTGCCTGATAGGTCGTGGTATGATCGGCGTAAGGTCATTGTAGGTCTTCGTAGGATCGTCAGGAACGTAGAGAGATTGTAGTGGGAACGTAGTAAAAACGTATTCGGAGTGCTGTAGGAGCGTATACTTGATAAGTTCCCAATCGTACTACGCTTTTACTGCGCTTTTACCACGATCACGAAGATCTCTCCACGATGCTTCCGCGCTGCTTGTACGATTACGGCGCTTCTACTACGCTCTTTTTACGACTTTACCCCGAAGCGTGGCGAGAGCGTAGAGCTCTCCGATCATGAAGACTCTACCGCGATCATACTGCGCTTATAAAGACTCCACTTCGTTTCTCCTGCAATTTGTCACGATCGGCCACGTTTTCGGCCACGCTTTGATCGTAGTAGAAGCGGCGTCTATGCGTGAACGGGGGCTTAAGCCAGGGCGAATTGAGCACACATTCAAAAATATTCTTTGAAAAACATAATATGAATGTCAGTGCTAATGACCCCCAAAAATTGCCTGATTTTTAGACTGGAGAGAATCTGCCATTATCCATACTTTTTTATGATGCTTCATTGGTTTTTAACATTTAATTTTCATGTTTTACTTTCTTTGCATACATAATTTTATCAATAATTTGGTAAACAATGATTTTGATGATTTGAATACTGAAACATAACAGACATATCTTTTGCATCATGCTTGAAGTGTTCACAAAATGTTCAGCCCTACAATGTTGCAGTGATGTCTCTGGTGTTGTGTTTATAATGCGATTCCAAGTTGTGGTGTTAAAGAATTTCATACTTTGCAGTTAAATATGTAATTTGAAAATGTACATGTTTAAATTTTTAAGGTGTCTATTAAGTGGAATTCTAGATTTTGGAGCCACTGAATTGCAGATAAAAGTATTATTGATATAATATTTACTCAGTGCAGAGTAGAACATGTTGTTTTATTCATCACCAGTATTGGCAATTTGTTTAAGCTTACAATACTTATGTAAATTTAAGAAAAAATATGTGCTCCTTTGCCAAGGAATACAATTTGCCAAAATATTTTCATGAAATGGCTGTCTCATTTGAAAGAAAGACATGTACCATCCAATAACTTATTAATAAATATGATTTGAGTGTCTCTCTCCTGACGGTTACTATTAAATTTTGAGAACCTATTTGACAATACCTGTTCAATGCAGGTCCAGTAGAAGGACCCAGTCTCTGTTTAAAAGTGACTCTTTTTTCCCCCCAAAATGAAGGTAAAAATTCACAAATGACAAGCAGGTTGAGTTTTTAGTTCATTTTAATAAAAATCTCTTTCCTAAATTTTCAGATAGTTCATAATAATGTGAATATTAATTAAGAGTTACAATCTATCCTTCTTTCACAGTAAAACATGATACAATGTTTCCCAATTTTGCTACTTTTCAGTTTTTGAATTCCAAAATGAAAGGGTACAGGACCCTGTAGAAAAACAGTCAATAAAACATTGAATATGTAATAATAACCAAATGGAATAAACCTTAATGGAGTCTTTTTGTTGTTGTGTACATATAAGTTGTAACGGTACAAGTAAGAAATCGTATGACATCATGTTTGATCTAAAAGTACAATAATAGTAAGTCAGCACCCGTCATTGGAGAGGGATTTGTTCTTGAATTCTCTTTGTATGGTTGTTTTATTATGAAGTACAGGTCTGGTTATTATTTTACTTCTGATAGATGGAATAAAGCTGAAGTGAATGTAAGCATGTAAACACTGAATTTTATTTTAGACATGCCACTACATTCTTTAAGATTTAATTCTTTGACAACGGTTTTGTGGAAATGGATTGAGACATCATGGAAGCAACATTGTGGCTTTTATTATTATATGATGCAAATGATATGCCTATTGGTATGTAATAATTTGTAATGTGCTGAACTGTAGTTAATATAATTTAACCATGTAATGTAAAGTTTATTGCAGGAATCAACCAAATGATTGTTGTGTATTAAAGAAATGTGTGGAGGTTCAGATCAGAGGGAAGTAACTGGTTAAATGATAGTGACTTGCAACACTACTACTGGTCTGACATTAAGTGATTAATAAAAAGAAAAAAAAGAATATTGCTATTCTGATATTTTTGTGTCAGAAAAGACTATTGATATGTTGGAGAAGTGTATGCTTGTAATCTGAAGGAAAATTGTGATGTATTTTAGGTAAGAAAGTAAAACAATTTGCCTTTGAGATCAATGAAAACAGTTCCAGTTAAATGGATTTTGCATCATATGCAAGAAAAATTTATACAAATAATTAAAAACACATATTGATGTCAGACTATGCCATGGTTTACATGATAAAAACATTATTATCTCCTTTCCCTGTAAGTATTGGATGTGTAGCTATTTAATAGAGGTACTTGTATCTTGAGCGTTGGTTAGAACATAACATTGAGCATGTTGAGGGGTTTGTCCGATTTTCAGCAAAAAAATTTTTCTAAAATCAAAGCTGAATGTTGTGAAGTGTATGTGTTTTTTGAGATACAGCAAGGGTGATATTGGAAGTAATAACCTTTGAATTGTTAATTGGTGTTTTGAAGGCTGATTTCAAACATCTCTCATTTAATTTTTCTTTAATTGGACATTTCATTAAAGTATACAATGTCTGCTAATTGAATTTTTATTGCTGATGCATATGATTGAATACATCTGATGCATTGCTGTGTTAACATGGATATACATGTTGTATTTGATGTGAACTTTCATTTTGCTGAGTGTCCAGTACACAGTTGAAGACAGTGCTGGGTTTTAGTTTTAAACGTCCATTAAAGAGGGAAAATGAGAGAAAGAAATCAATGGGTTTGGGGGGGGGGGGGGGGATAAGAGATTATTAGAGAATTTAACAGACATTGATTGCAAAGTGAATGTAAAATACTCTTATAGTGTTGATTTTTTTTTTTTTTTTTTGGTTAAAACTTGAGCAAAGTGAATTGGTGCTGCAATTTGAACAGACCATTTCATGTCCTGACTTCGACAGTTTTAACTTTTATCCCCTGGATTGATATAAATATCACCAGACCGTAGTGTTGCTGTCCTGTCTAATGGTTACTCCCAGAAATGAGTATGGACCTCTCCACACATCAACTCTGTAAAGCAAGGTTACTGGTAAGAGATTCTAACTAATGATATTTTTTTTTCTTTTCTTTTTTCCCCGATGTTCACTTGGATGCCCTTCGATGATACCTGAAATGTTCCCGATGTGTGATTTTCTGCCCATTGGATATCCTTCTACTTTAATTAAAACCCATACAAACATTCCTGAACACTTTTCTGAATGTTATTTTGACAATGATACAGAATCGTTTTGATTCTAATGCTGGTAGTTTTGGAGGTAGCTCATCCAATTTCGGAGGTCACCCTGGTGGCAATGCGTCTAACCAAGGTGGTATGTTTGGTAATAACCGAAATATGGGTGGGATGGGGAATCGAAATGATAGGAGAAGAGATATGGGGAATGTAGGCGGTCCCAGAGATGACTATGGAGATATGAAGAGAATGAGGAGATTTTAAGCTAGTGTTTATTCGCATCATGAAAACGCATGGAAAATATAGTGATTTGACTTATGATCTGATTTTATCCATGGATTGTTGTAAAGTGCTGGATTTACAGATATTTTAGCACTATACTTCGGAGAATTTAAAGTTCATAACTCTGAAGAAGAAATCTGTTATTGCTTATTTTCTAAAATAAAAAAAAAATATTTTATCCTGTAGATAGCTATTTTTATATGGAAGAGGAATACTTTTAGCCATTTCTAAGCCATAGAAAATAGAACTACATATTACTTTGCTTTTGACTTGAAAGCAAACTTTAACATAGTACATGTTGTGTATTAAATGAAAGCAAAAAATCGTGTCATGTATTTCTTGATAATTGATGTCATTATTTGTAATTCATTGTATCATACACTAATAAAGATTTGAGTCTATATAAGCTGCTGAGGTTGAAGTTTTTCATGTGATTAAAACATTAGCAAGTATTTTTAACATATTAAGTAATTTACAGTTTGCCAGCAGAGTTACTAGGTAGAAACTCATAACTTGTAGCTCTTCAAAGAACGTCAAAAAGGGAAGGGGGTTGCATTTTCATTCTTATCCCATAATTAAAAATAATGCTAGGATGTAGCATGGTTTTCAAAGTGAGGCATAGTTAGAAAAATTACTGGCAATTGGGGGGGGGGGGATTCTCAATTCCTAACTGATGTTCCTGAAAAAAAAATCTCAGTTACAATGGCACAAGAGGGTCCAAACCTGCTGCAACAGAAGTTGGATTGCCAACCAGCCTTTGAGTTAAAACTTCCATACACAATTAACCATTTAAGATTATTTGAAGAAAGGGGGATTGGACTTGTGCCAGAGCCAGTAAGAAAATGCAGATCTAGAAATATATAGCTCTTGGCAATTATTTGATATTACCAAAAATGGACTTAAGTTTTATTAAGTGATATATTAACCACATGCTTATCTTTCCTTTGTAGAGGCAACAATGGTTCTTTTTTTACCTAACCTTTTTAATGGCCCAAAATTTGTATACAGATTTCATCAGATCTAAATTATATTTTGAACCTGCAAGTGTAGCATCCTTATCATAAGAGCCAAGTTCACTAAGTGCCTTACTTGGCCTTGTAAAATTCAGAAAAAATGAAATGTAAAAGATGAAGGTAACAAACAGTAATCAATTTCATAAATCCAGTGAAGAATACAAACTAGAAATGGAGGTGGGATCAGGTGCCAAAGAGAAGTAAGCACCCCTTATCGTGAGCCCTCTGTATTAATGAAGTAATCTGTTGACAAAATTGTTTAATTTTAGTGTACAATTCAATGTTGGTTGGACTTGAGACCACATAACTATTAGAAATAATTTTCTCCCTTCTCCATGTATTATTTCATAAAACATAACATTATTACTTTTCATGAATATTTTTCCTATTATGAAACAACATTTTTGTAAGGAGAAAAGCCTCCATTTTTTTTTATTTATTGATAGAACTGGTACTAACATTTATTGCACCTATTTTTATTTTTGGGATCAAGGATTGTGCTAAAAATATTGCTGAATGTACTTTTTTTCCCTGTCAAACATAAGAGCACTGCAATTTTACAAAGCCCACACTCCAATACGTAAAGTCTGAAAAAGGAACTTCTTTATGTGGAAATGAAAGCATGACGTCTAGGATTGAAGTTTGACCGAGAAAGACAACCGACTAATTTGTCCAGAGGCAGGGCCATTTTCTGATAATATGAACTTGGTTCTAAAGAGGCTAGAAAATGGAGAGATCTGTCTTACTACTACACCATGTGTGAGACTGCATTCTCCAAAATACATCTGTTACTCAAGGATTAAAGTGCTCAAAGGAATACTGGTAGCAAATGGCACTTGCTCAAAATGAGAGAATAACATTATAGTTATTTTTCTCTTTGTTCGTCAACAAAAAGAAGAAAAAGAGACTTGCTTCTTAGTTTCAGCATGAAATAATAAGGCTTATCTTTAAGAAACATGCTCGTATTTTCATGGGTAGAGGGTTGCATTTTTATTTATGTTGTGGATTTTATGTTATTGAAACAAATAATGCCTTAATTACAAGAGAGTGTTCTTCGTTTGCCATCCTGCGAAAGCTTAAAGCTATACGCAACATACCCACTGATAATTTTTCAAGATATTTTGAATTCAAAATTATTGAACCATCAGATGTTCATGGGCAAAAAACCAGCATGCATTACCAGGGGTTTTGAATAGATATCAAATGATGAAAATTCTTGTGTTATTCAAAAACAAATACACAAAAATTACTAAGCATATATTCAAGATGTTTTTTCCCCATCATAATTTGTTTTAGAAGTATATGTGGATTGTCTTTGTCATAAAAAAAATCCTTCTTGTAATATCTGAAGCCAATCGAAGAGCAGCATTAAGATTGGTTCAGTTTTCAATTTTTGTTTAAAGATCATTTAAGACCGTGAATTTAAGATTGCACAGAATATACATTACAACAACAACAACAAAATAAAAAAAAAAGAAAAAAACATAGATGAAAATTTTATTTTAGGCAGTTACAAGAAATTTGGATTTGAATTTACATGAGTTCTGTTATCAGTAAAACTCTAATTGGACAACACAGTATAAATCGTTGTAGCTGCATAGACCTAGAACCGTTTACCCAGTTGAATAGCTGGGCTAGGACTGTGGGTTATAAAAAGAAGGGGTAATTTGGTGAAAGAATTCATAGTTATAAACTTGTCTGGTAGTCTGTCCAGTGTCTATGAGCTTTCATATCACATAATCACTCCCCCCCCCCCCCCCCCCCCCCCCCGAAGCATAAAATTAATGTTTGCATTGTTTTATAGAGGCACATATGAACATTACGTATGAACAGTAGTACTTTTGTCTAAAAATGACGATGCCAAACTTTTTACGATTACATGTATCAGTGTGACCAATTGCTATAATCGTCATTATGAGTCATTCTTGATTAGTTAAAAAAACATTTTCAGCTTCTTTTCTGAGACTACTATTTTACCAATTTCCTCTTCCCAGGTTGAGACTAAGTTGCTCATACATTGGCAATGAGCCATATCTTTTTATATCTCCTTCTTTTCTGGAAATTCAGCTAATAAACTTTGGCTTGGTAATAACATGCAATGAAAATTGTAAAACTTAAGGACAGATGATACAAAAAAAAAATGGATGCCTGGATTGGTATATATTTTTTAACCTATTTTGGTTCTAAATGATTAGAATATTAAATTTCTAAAATATTAAGAAATTGGGAACTTTCTACGATGTTCACAAGTCCACCTTTTTGCAACTATCCTTATTAATCTATACAAATTTTTGTCACTTTAAATCCAATTATTGTGAAATTTTAAAAGAAAAATGAAAATCTATGCGGTTAAACTTATTCAATTTACTTATATAAACATGACTTTAGTTGTTATTTTCAAGATTTTTTATAAAAAATTGTTTTTATCATCTGTCCTTAATTGTCCACAGGGTTCAGGTTTCATGTCTTAGCTGGACTGAGTTCAAATATTGAATATATTTTATATTTTTTAAGTTCTGGGAATTTAGCAGATGAATCCTTTGCATATTAATATTAAAGTCTTAAACCAAAAATGTAAAATTCTGCTTGCCTCGTACACAGGATTTGGCCACCAGGATGGGCCCAAGTTGATTGCAGGTTGATAAATCCACGATAAACGTGTGACTATCAAAGCATATGGGTTTGTCTTTTTTTTTTTAACTTTTCCATTTTATTTATTTGTTAATAATATATTTTTCTTTTGCGTCGCACAAATTTATTGCAGAAATTTGCGTTAATGCACACCCTTCAATATATCAAAAGGAAACTTGACCAATTTACAGTCATTCTACAAAAACATGCCCAATTAAGCATTTTTTATGTTGCTCACAAATTTACCGTTGTAATTTAAAGCAATATGAGCTGCAACTTTTATATCGGAAATTTTTGTTGCAATTTTGTAAGTAACTATTTCAATGACAGAAAAAAGAACCTTTATACACTTTTCTTGTTTATATTTTCGATGGAAAAACCAATTTTAAGCTTTGATTTAAGCAAAATTACATTATTGTCGTCCTGTACAATATTGATTTGTTATATAATACTATACATTCCATTGTACAGAAATCTTTCTTTTGAAAAAATTTGATACTTAAATTCAGTCTAATTGATCATAAATGGTTTCAATTACGTACAGATTTATCATAACAGCACATTTTAACAGCAAAATAAAATTCTCAAAAATACAGCTCATATTGCTTTAACTATAAATTTAAAGATCGATTTCAACTCTAAGACTTAACATACACACATGGTTTTGTGAATATTTACCGATATGTGTGCAATTAAAGTTTTGATTTGAACATAATGTAATGTTTAAAAACGTAGTCCACTGCAAATCTTATAATGTCGCTTCATTTATTTACAATTTTCAGCCGTAAAAGCGTTCCGAATAGATTGCAATGAATGTTTAAAAAAAAATATCCTTCCTATATAAAAAGCAATCAAACCAATTCTTGCAAAGAAATGCATGGATCTTCTTTCATGCGAAATCATAGCATGTCGCTAAAAATCGATTAACTTCCGTAACGATTTTGTTTTAAATTTCACGCACAGAATGCAGATTTCAAAAAGAACTGAAACTTATCTGAAAAGTGACCACGGAACATAATATCATCGATTCTTTAAAAATTTAACTTCCGTAACGGTATGTCAGGAAAGGTTTTGCATTAAATGTATAAATTTCTTTATTAAATTGGGAGCGAAATGCTTCATACTTTCGTTTAATATCAGAAAACAAACTTTGATTTTAACTTTGCCGAGAATTTTAACTTTGATTGCTGGGAATAACTAGTAACTTCCGTAACGATTAACTTCCGTAAGGATGTTTTTCCCGAAATTTTAACTTAATTTCGGATTCATGCAAGAGTTCATGAATCATACTTTTTAGCATTTTATACTGAACACCAGAAATGTAAAATTGGTCAAATTCAGCTTTATTTTAAAATAATAAGACTTGATCAAACATTAACTTTTAACATTACCTTAAAATCAATGGTATATTGAAATTGTAAAAAGTTAACGATACCAGATTTGTGGACAATTTTTTTTCAAGTTCACTGATATGTCCTTTAGAGAATTATGATGTTCATTTTGCTATTTGAAACAATAATTCTTTTCATATGTTTTATATCCTGAATTGGTCCATTTATCGTAGAATGACTGTTTAATGGAATATAAATTGTTTTGTTTAATCATTTTCCCACTTACCTAATTATTATGAAAAAAAGTGAAGATAATAAACGGTGATCGATCTCAAAAAACCTACTTACTCTACAAATATGAGAATAGGACCCCGGATATTTCAGAGGTGGGATCAGGTGTTTAGGAGGAGTAACCATTCCTTGTAGACCGG